ACAAAATTGCATGGGTTCAAGTTGGCGCAACAATAGGCAAACTTTATTATAGTATTGCAGAGCAAAGTCAAAATCTTGCTTTTCCGGCCGGTGTTTGCCCTACTGTAGGGATTGGCGGCCACTTTAGTGGAGGAGGATACGGCACGTTACTGAGAAAATATGGGCTCGCGGCAGATAATATTATTGATGCCCAACTTATTGATGTTAATGGAAGAATTCTTGATAGAGCTTCAATGGGTGAAGATCTTTTTTGGGCTATTCGCGGTGGCGGTGGAAATACTTTTGGAGTGGTTGTTGCTTGGAAAATAAATTTAGTTGAAGTTCCTTCAATTGTAACTGTATTTACAGTAGAAAGAACTCTGGAACAAAACGCGACTGAGATTGTGAAGTTCCTTCAATTGTAACTGTATTTACAGTAGAAAGAACTCTGGAACAAAACGCGACTGAGATTGTTCATCAATGGCAATATGTTGCTCATAAGTTTAATGAAGATTTATTCATTAGGGTTATCATTGAAAGAGTTAATTCAAGTGGAAATACTACAACAATAAGAGCTGCATTTATGTCTTTGTTTCTTGGAAGAGTTGACAGGCTGCTTCCATTAATGCAAGAAAGTTTTCCTGAACTAGGGTTAACTAAAGAAGACTGTACTGAAATGAGTTGGATCGAATCTGTTCTTTATTTTGCCCGATTCTCAAACTCATCTTTAGAGATTTTGCTTGAAAGAACTCAACAGAACGTAAGATATTTGAAAGCAAAATCTGATTATGTTCAACAACCAATGCCTGAAGTTGCTCTAGAATGAATATGGAAAAGGCTTTTCGAAGTGGAAGTGGGTTCAGGCCAATTGATGTTCAATCTTTATGGAGGTAGAGTGAGTGAAATATCAGAATCTAGCATTCCGTTTCCACATAGAGCAGGGAATTTATATAAAATTTATCATGCAGTGTATTGGAATGATGAAGGAATTGAAGAATCAATAAAGCATATAAGTTGGATAAGAAGGCTTTATAGTTTCTTGGCTCCGTATGTTTCTAAAAATCCAAGATCAGCTTATATTAATTATAGGGATCTTGATATTGGAATTAACAGTATTGGAAATACAAGTTATAAGCAAGCAAGTATCTGGGGAATTAAGTATTTCAAGATTAATTTTGATAGGGATCTTGGATATTGGAATTAACAGTATTGGAATACAAGTTATAAGCCAAGGCCAAGCTATCTGGCGGAATTTACAGGTATTTCCAAGGCATTTAATTTGATAAGATTCGGGTTCATGGTCAAGACTCAAGGTTGATGCCCTGCTAATTTCTTTCAGAAGACATTGGAAACCAAAGCATCCCCCTCCCCTCTTACTCTTTAGGTTATAGGGATCTTGATATTGGAATTAACAGTATTGGAAATACAAGTTATAAGCAAGCAAGTATCTGGGGAATTAAGTATTTCAAGATTAATTTTGATAGATTGGTTCATGTCAAGACTCAAGTTGATCCTGCTAATTTCTTCAGAAATGAACAAAGCATCCCTCCTCTACTCTTGGTGATGTTAGAGATTTATTAAGTTCTATGATAAGCTAAGGATGTTTGTCTTTGATTTGAAATCTCCATACATTTATGTTCATGTCATAATTTTTTAATTGTGTGGGATATGGTTAGGTTTCAGTTTCATGCATACTGTATAAAATTTGATGGTCAAAATAAAAATAAATATAAATAAGTGCTTCTACAATATGTAGTTCAATAGTTTTTACAATAAAAGTTTGCTTTGTGAGCATCAATTACAGTCAGTTCATTAAAAAAAAAAAATTACAGTCTGGAATAATGTTACCATAATCTGAATTATCATCATGATTTTCATGTAGAGCATTATAAAGCATCAGAGCATCAACTTCAACCTGAAAAGAACCTTGTACATAATTATGTAAGCTAAAAGCTTCAGCCATTTTTGGTGAATGCAAACCTGCAAATGTCCCAAACTAATAGGCATTATTTTATATATTAATCTCATTGTTTGGAACAAATGAATTCCACAAACTTTTGTGAAATTCATTTAGAAATCCATATTCATAGAAATCCATATCATTCTATGCACTATTTGAGTGTTTGAATGCAGCTGGTCCAGCGTACAAGTTAACTATGTTCTTGATTTCAAGTTAAATATATAACTACCAACTTGTTCTTCATTACAAGTTAACTACTACTATAAGATATTAGAAACTTCATACTATAGTTAATCCACTTTACTATAGTTAATTAATTCTAAAAAAATGTACAATCCAGGATTAACTTTTATTTTAGAATTAATTTTTTCAGAAAAAATATAACATATTCATTAGTGTAAGTATATTAACTGATACAGAACCCCAAGATCAACATGGAATTTAGAACTCTCCATCAATTTGAACAAGCAAAATTAATCACCAAGCAATCATGATTTTGATTTGTTCTTATACCTAAGAACTCAACTCAAAAGGACTTAAAAGAGAAAATCTCAGTATATCCCCTTTAAACACAATTTGAATTAGATGTTCAAAAACATAAAAAATAGGAATTGAATTTGAATAGCAATTGAACAAATCAATTACAATTCAAACAACACCTTATGCATAAAGATAAAAGAAGGCATAAACCTCACTTTTATTAATCCGAAATCATCCAAAATTCAATCTCCCAAAACAAAGAAAGCTAAGTCCTTTATATAGAGTAGGGGTGTACAAAGTAAGTAAATAAAAATTAAAATGATAATTAAAGCTATAAAGTGGATAGCTTTTCAACATCCATAACTCTTTATTTTCTATCTTCTTGTCTCTTCAAATTTTAGTGATCCAAAATAAATCCAAATGGGCTGTCCAATCCAAATATATGGGCCCAAAATGAGTTTTGAGCTAAAAACCCAAACACTTCAAAGTTGCCAGACGGGCCTAATATTGATGTCACTATGCTATAAAACTTCTCATCTATAAATAAAGGGCCAAAATAAACTCTAAACTAGCTCAAATGCATTTTAAATAATTTAGGAAGTATTTTAACCGATATTTTAATTAAAAGCCCAAACAGTCTATAAAATTTCATATCCGGACATTTTCTTATTTTGACTCGTTTTACTTCCATAACCTGTATTGTATCATATATATATTTATTTATTATAAATATAATTTATTTTGACACCTCTAACTGAATATCTATTCATAGGCATTGCATTTTAAAAATCTATGTTCAATGTACTACTTTCAGATCCTCTTCTATCCTTTTTCTTCTTTTCTTTTCTGGGTTCACAATTTAATATACAGTCAATCACTATAGAGTAATAAATGCGCATACTATTTATCTAGTACTTTAAATTTTGTAAATGATTTATTATGTACTTAAACTTACAAATTTTGGTAATATTATATACTTTTCCATATTAACAATAATGTTTTTTTGAACAGCAAAGAAAAATAAGATTTTATTAATGAAATTTAAGAGAAAAGATAGGTTTTCCCCCTTCCACCCATTAAACCTAAATTTGGAGTGTAGAAAAAAAAAAAAAAAAAAATTTTATTAATGGAAATTTAAGAGGAAGAAGATAAGGTTTCCCCCCTTCCCACCCATTAAAACCTAAATTTTGGGAGTGTAGAAAAAAAAAAACACAAAAAACTGGTTCCTCCTTTACAAAGAACCATTTAAGAAAAACATGGGACAACAAGCCAGAAAAAGCCAAAAGCATATGGCCCTTTAGTTAAAAAAATTCAACCCACTCCCCAATTCTACTTTTCATTGAGAGAGAGGGAAAGAGATGACAAAAAGCAGAAAAGCCAAAAGCATATGGCCTAGGTTAAAAATTCAACCTCAATCTACTTTTCATGAGAGAGGAAAAGAGATTGACAAAATGCAGCAGAAATTCTACATTAACAATAATAGTTTTTAGTGTTCTTATCTTTTATATGGTTAAGTCAATTATAACTGAATAATTTGGATTGATATTGTATACCTCTCTTTATATAGAGAGTTGTAATTGGAATCCTTATTAGATACCTATTTGAATACTATTTTGGAGTGATTGGCAATCCACTGCAAATTAATGGAGAGTTAGGAATGAAATCTTCTAATCGTATCCATACTCTATGCAAAATTAATCTTTGATCCATATTAATAATATAATAAAGGTGTTAAATACCAATCTCAGATTATGTGTGGGCTTAAACTATAAAAATATATTAAATTATCATGTTTGTTTCAGAATCACTTCAAATTGGCTTTTGTACTATAGACACCCTCATTTTGAAATTTAAATATTTTAGCAAACCAGATCAATATTAGAGTTAAGGTTATGAATAAAAAATTAATATAATGGGACCCATGTCAGAACCTTAGGTTAACTAAATTTAAGGTCCAGAAAATAGTAATCCTTTCTTAAAAAAAAAAAATCCCTCATTAATTAGCTTTTAGATGGATGGTACCATACCAATGATATTATTGTAGAAATTATTTGTACAAAAACTATTAGCTCTGGTTGAGATCAATGGTTGAAAATTTTGGATTATATAACGAAAAAGAAAAAAAGCAAATAACCTATGTTTGGATTAAAAAAAAAAAAAGAAAACAAATATGATATTAACATAATCAAGATTTTTTTTTTTTCATGTAAAGATGGCAAGGAATTGAAGATCTGTTTAAATTGGCGTTTCTTTGTTCTTTTTATTTTGAAGTTTCCAAGTTGGCAAAGATAAGAAAAAAAGTTTCCAAGTTGAAATTGTTTTGGGATAAGATTAATGACCTGTTCAATCAAATGAGTTAAAAATATGTTATTTTACTAAAAGAATTAGACAAAATAATAATACAGAGTAATAATTGTTTAAAATGAGAATCAACTATTGGCTATGAAATAATAAAAAGAATTGGTTTATTCTCTACAAGTAATTGAAAATGGAGTTCAACACTCAAACCTTCCTTTGAAAAGAGAATGAAAATAAAAAATATTAAAGGAAAAAAAAAATAACATTGATCAAACCAATCAAATTTTATTATAAAAATAAAAATTTAATATCCATTGATGGTCACAGCAAACTTTTATTGTACAAAATACATATTTTACATGCACTTATTTTATTTTTTTTCTTTTGACCATCAAATTTTATTACACTATACATGAAACTGAAATCTAAAACCACACAATTAAAGAATTACAAAATAAATACAAAAGATAAATGAATGGATATTTCCAATACATAGAAGACAAACATCATTATTATATTGTTCAATCAATCTCTATGATCACCAAGAGGAGAGAGATGGGATGCTTTGTTCATTTCTGAAGAAATTAGCAGGATCAACTTGAGTCTTGACATGAACCAATCTATCAAAATTAATCTTGAAATACTTAATTCCCCAGATACTGGGATGCTTTGTTCATTTCTGAAGAAATTAGCAGGATCAACTTGAGTCTTGACATGAACCAATCTATCAAAATTAATCTTGAAATACTTAATTCCCCAGATACTTGCTTGCTTATAACTTGTATTTCCAATACTGTTAATTCCAATATCAAGATCCCTATAATTAATATAAGCTGATCTTGGATTTTTAGAAACATATGGAGCCAAGAAACTATAAAGCCTTCTTATCCAACTTATATGCCTTTTTGATTCTTCAATTCCTTCATCATCCCAATACACTAAATGTTGAATTTTATATAAATTTCCTGCTCTGTGTGGAAATGGAATGCTAGATTCTGATATTTCACTCATTCTACCTCCATAAGGACTGAAAATCAATTGGCCTGAACCCACTTCCACTTCAAAAAGCCTTTCCCATATTCCCTTTAAAGCAACTTCCGGCATTGGTTGTTGAACATAATCAGATTTTGCTTTGAAATATCTTACGTTCGGTTGAGTCCTTTCAAGCAAAATCTCTAATGATGAGTTTGAAAATCCAGCGAAATAAAGAACAGATTCGATCCAACTCATTTCAATACAGTCTTCTTTAACTAGCCCTAGTTCAGGAAAACTTTCTTGCATTAATGGAAGTAGCCTGTCAACTCCGCCAAGAAACAAAGAATTAAATGCGGCTCTTATCGTTGTGGTATTTCTACTGGAATTAACTCTTTCGATGATAACCCTAATGAATAAATCTTCACTGAACTTATCAGCAACATATTGCCATTGATGAACAATCTCAGTCGCGTTTTGTTCTAGAGTTTTTTCTACTGTAAATACAGTGACAGTAGAAGGAACTTCAACTAATTTTGTTCTAGCGTTTTTTCTACTGTAAATACAGTGACAGTAGAAGGAACTTCAACTAAGTTTATTTTCCAAGCAACAACCACTCCGAAAGTATTTCCACCGCCACCGCGAATAGCCCAAAAAAGATCTTCACCCATTGAAGCTCTATCAAGAATCCTTCCATTAACATCAACAAGTTGAGCATCAATAATATTATCTGCGGCGAGCCCATATTTTCTTAGTAACAAGCCATATCCTCCTCCACTAAAGTGGCCGCCAATCCCTACAGTAGGGCAAACACCGGCCGGAAAAGCAAGATTTTGACTTTGCTCTGCAATACTATAATAAAGTTTGCCTATTGTTGCACCAACTTGAACCCATGCAGTTTTGTTGGTTGCATCAATGGTGATTGATTGAAGGTTAATTGGATCAAGAATGACAAATGGGATTGGAGAAACGTAGGAAAGACCTTCATAACCATGGCCACCGCTTCTGATTCTAATTTGCATGTCATGTTTTTTAGAACACGTAATGGTAGCTTGAATATGGGAAAGGTTCAATGGGGTGACGATCACTTGAGGTTTCATGGGTTGAGCTGAAGTTGTTGTTACCCAAGAAGATGAGAAGAGAAAAAAAGAAAAAAGAAGCGGCAACAATTTTGAAGAAATCATATTTTGTGGTATAGGGTATTGCTTTTTTGTTTTGGATGTGGTTCTGTTTTAGAGGGTTCCACCATATTTATAGGGGAGAGAATAAAACTTTTCTTGTTTTGCAAAATTGAAAATTTGAATTAGGATTGCAAAAATTTCTTGCCTCTTGAAGAGAGGACAATGTCAAGCCCATCTAGATCGAGTTTCTCGAGATGAAATTAGATGGGTACGTAGAAAGTTCAATTTCAAGAAATAAAAAACAAACTTTCATGGAAACAACTTGATGAAAATTGATGTTTGACTATTCATATTTCTTCTTCTTCTACGTACTGCATTAATTTAATTTGAAATTATAATATGCGAATAGTTATTATTATCCCATGGAAAAAGATTTATCTACACTCGGTGTATATATCTACCTACATATCAAACTAATTATAAATAATATTTGGGTTCAAATGAGAATATTTATGACCACTGAGAAAGAAAAAAAAAAAAAGACAAAATAGTGCTATACAAAAAACGATCATTTTTTGTTTATACTATAGGTGTCTCTAGCTTATTGGGCTAAGCAATGTATTAGTCCTATAAGCGGAAATTTTCTTTATTTACAATGATTGATGATTCGGTCTCTTGCTTCAGGAACTCAAGTCATTTTCACTCGTATCAATTTTCATTGATCCAAAAATAATTACGTCAATATAATGATAACTGTTATATTTTAATTTTGGAACAAATGGAAGTTAATTTAATTTATCAACATTAGTTAGTGCATGCATATAATTTTAAAACTAGTTCCATCATCAAGGAAATATCAAGTACCAATTTCATTACCTCACCTTACTTACACGGCAGAAATCAGCATTTACCCATTTCCTTGCAGCACTATATTGCGGGCCTAAAAATATAAATTCACTCTTTATACTTAATAAAAATAAAAAATTATGGGACTTTAAACTCCATGGAAAATCTGTTATGTCCTTAAAGATAGAAATTTGATAAGAGAAAAACTTATTTAAATTGGGTCCATGTTCCCACCTATGCACCAAACCAATAAAATTCAATATTTTTATTGAAACGAGTGTATTTCTAATCATAAATTAAAAAAAAAAGATAAAATTGAAATATCTTTTAGAAAATTCTAAATTTCATTTATTTAGTTCATGAGTAGGGCTATGAACCGGGTCTAAACAAGTTTTTCCATTTGGTAACGTTATATACATCTGCATACTAGCAGTGACACTTTTTTTTTTTTTTTGAATTTTGTTATTTTTATATATATAATATTAATTTTGATGTGTGATTACACAACTTTTAAAACAATCTTTTTCAATTTTGACAATTCAGTTTCATGCATAGAGTATAAAATTTGATGGTCAAAATAAAAATAAATATAAATAAGTGCTTCTACAATATGTAGTTCAATAGTTTTTACAATAAATGTTTGCTATGTGAGCATCAATTTATGTAATATTTTCATTTGTAATTTTATAATAATATTTTATTGGTTTAATATTTTAAAAGAAGTTTTGAGTGTTGGACTCGCATCTAATTGATCTCCATCTTCAATTACTTGTAGAGAAATTAACCATTTGATTGAGCTAATTAACTTTTTTTTTTTTTTTTTTTTTTTTTGGCAGTTTTATAAATTGAAATATTCGATTGGTCAAAATCAAAATTTAATAGATAGCAGTTTTACAATATGATCCATCTAAAGTTTTTAATTATCCACCAATTCTGGTAAGATAATCATTATTCTTTGGCTTTTAGTCAATAATAATAATAATAAAAAAACATAAAAACATAAATAAAAACTTTTCTCATGACATAATCTATTTGATTTTCGAAGAAATTTAAAAAAAAAAAAAAGAATCATATTTATTGACTTTTTATTTTGAAAATAAATCTGATTTTATCAATTTAAGTTTTTTTGAAAAATAAATCTGATTTTATCAATTTAAAGTTTAAATTTTTTTATGAAGTTTAAATTTTTTTTATGAAAATGACTTTTTTCCATTTTGAATCATGTGTATTGACTTTTTATTTTGAAAATAAATCTTGTTTTATCAATTTAAGTTTAAATTTTTTTATGAAAATGACTTTTTCCATTTGAATCATATTTATTGACTTTTTATTTTTAAAATAAATCTGATTTTATCAATTTAAGTTTAAATTTTTTTTATGAAAATGACTTGACATTTGATAATGGAAAAAGTCATTTTCAAAAAAAAAAAAAAGAAAGATAATGGAAAAAGTCACATTGAATTGCTTATTAATTGCAATTGATTTCCAATTCAACATATCCTAGTGGTTTGGCAATCTGCGATATTATCATATGATGTCATAATAAATATTATTCAATTGTTAAAGTCAATTTCAACTCAATTCCTGTGTTTTAAATTTAAATTTGATGAAATGAATTGTTTTTTTAAATAAAAACAAGAAAAAATTATTTTCAGAGTCCCTAGTTTTTACAAAGTACATTGGTTCATCTTCGTTGTTTGAACAAATTATTTCACAGTTCATAACATTTGCATCTGTCTAGCTTTTTAGTCCTTCCGTAGAAAAAGTGACTTTTTCCATTAATTTTACCTGAAATACCAAAATACCCTTATTACGTGGGACGCATCTTCATCTATCTCCATCCTCAATACATCTTTCTCCTCTTGCAAACCTTCCGTAGAAAAAGTGACTTTTTCCATTAATTTTACCTGAAATACCAAAATACCCTTATTACGTGGGACGCATCTTCATCTATCTCCATCCTCAATACATCTTTCTCCTCTTGCAAACCTTCCGTAGAAAAAGTGACTTTTTCCATTAATTTTACCTGAAATACCAAAATACCCTTATTACGTGGGACGCATCTTCATCTATCTCCATCCTCAATACATCTTTCTCCTCTTGCAAACCTTCCGTAGAAAAAGTGACTTTTTCCATTAATTTTACCTGAAATACCAAAATACCCTTATTACGTGGGACGCATCTTCATCTATCTCCATCCTCAATACATCTTTCTCCTCTTGCAAACCTTCCGTAGAAAAAGTGACTTTTTCCATTGGATAAAAAAAATATATGAATTTTAATTAAGAAAAAACAGTTTTATAATTTTAGATAGTATGATGTTACAATTTTACATATTTATCAATGCTCTTGTTGAAATTAGTTAAATTAACGGAACAATACTATTTCAAATCAGTAATATATTACAGCTACAGTTAATAGTAAAAATTGATGTCTAATAGTAAAATATGACACAGAAAAATATAAGATTTAGAGTTGAAATAATTGATATTGAATTTATTTATTTGTGAATTATAAGTTTTGCCTGTAAGGGTGATAGATTTAAAAATAATAAAAATAAATAAGAATACTGGAAATGGACTCATAGAAATTTAGATCATAGAACAGTGTATATATTGGATCTTAATGATAATTTCATATGTAAACTGCCTTTTTTGTTATCTGGATTTTATGTAAATTTTCCCTAATTTGATATAGTAATAGAATTAAAAAGAGAAAAAATATATCAATTTGAAAAAGAAATTGTTATAAGAATTATTGGAATAGACGAAAAAGAAAAAATTGATCTCACTAAACCGTCAAAGAGCTCTAATCTATTTATAGTCCTGTAGGAATAAGAAAATTAATGGAAATTAAGATATATTATTATTAAAGACTAATAAGACAACCTGAATATGTACAATTTTAAACCAGGAAATAGCTAAAACCTGATGTTTGAATTATTCAATCATTATATAAAACTATAATAAATATTTCAACTATTAACCTTCTCTAATCATGATCTTTTAAATAACTAAAAATATTCATTCATTATAAAAAATGATAAATTATGCATCGATTATAATGATAATTCCAAGTATCAAATCACATAAATAACACTTAATTTGAGACGAGAGATGAAGTTATAGATACATATTAAATATGATGCATTAACGTTCAATATTTATGATAATTATATTAATTAAAAAATGGAGGATAATAAAATTAAATATTAATTAAACTTTATTTAATACATATTAATATGATATTGAATGAATAAAACAATATTATGTAATTTTAAATTGAAAAAGATAGGTTACAAATATTTTCTAATATTATAATTAATTTTACTAATATGTATTAATTATGATCAATTAATATCCCCCAATATTTTATAACATTATAACTAATAATTAAAATATTGTAGTATCAAAATTTAAGAGTTCTATATGGCATTATAGTCCTATGTGTTTATCGCAAAAAATCTTATGTAGAAAAGTAAAGAAAAGAGTATTCCATTTTAAGAAATGTCACGAAGTCAATTCTAGGCGAAAATGCATGCTATATATAATATATATATATATATATATGTGCGTGTTGTGGAAACTATGTACTAAGTATAGGTATTGTACAATGTTATTTTGTGGTATGTTCATCCAATACTCACTATTTTTTTTAGAAATTGAAATAGTAGTAATAACGCTTGGCAAAAACTCATATTATAGTTATTCCAATAAAAAATATCACTAATAATCTTAAAAATGAATTATTTAATTTTTAATAATTTAATAAGTGCAATCTCTCCCAATGCCAACTATGGAGTTGTGCTGATTTTGTCTTAATATTAATTATGATAATTAATATCAATATTTATATAACATTATAACTAATAATTAAAATATGTGTAGTATCAAAATTTAAGAGTTCTATATGGCATTATAGTCCTATGTGTTATCGCAAAAAATCTTATGTAGAAAAAGTAAGAAAAGAGTATTCATTTAAGAAATGTCACGAGTCAACTTCTTAGGGAAAATGCATGCTATATATATATATATATATATATATATATGTGCGTGTGTGTGAAACTAATGTACGAAGTATAGGTATTGTACATGTTATTTTGTGTATGTTCATCCATACTCACTTATTTTTTTTAGAATTGAAATAGTAGTATAGCTTGCAAAAACTCATATTATAGTTATTCCATAAAAATATCAGCTAATAATCTTAAAATGATTATTATGTTTTAATAATTTAATAAGTGCATCTCCAATGCAACTATGGATTGTGGCTGATTTGTCTTAATAAATAGAAGTTGTGGATAATGATGTGGCTGCATATGTATTTGTATACGTTAGATTTTAAAAATGACTCTACAATGCATCCTCATTATATTAAAATTTTCTGATGATGTGTATTTTATTTTTCAAAATTATATGTAATTAAAATTAGACTTATAACTAAATACAGTAAACTAAAAATATTATTCTCTGCCTTCTTGGTTTATTACTAGATTGCCAGGCCATGGTTGCGTATACCAATTGCTAGGACTTTTCTTTTACACTCTATTTGGTATTTTGCACTTCCAGTGATGGTATTTGTTAGATAGACTTGAGCATGAAGAAGAAATCAACTTCAGCGTGAAAAGAAATTTGAATGCAAATAAAAGAAGAGTAAGAGAAAAATAAAAAACATAAAAAGAAGAATAAAAAGTTAACTCACGCTATCCCAAACTAAATAGACAAGAGCATTAGAAAATATTTTTATTTTTAACTTTTCAGACGTGACAAATAAATTAAAACAATCCATGATTGCATTGGAAATGCTTTTAACATGCACCCGCGGCAGTACGTGCACGTCCTGAGTCCCACTAGTCAAATTTTTAGTCCTTTTCCCCTATTTTTGCAATCTTTTTCACCATTTACACTTAAATAAGGGCTCTCTACCTTATTATTTCACACACATATTTCTTGCTTGAGTTGTTATAATTGTCTCTCTCTTTTCTCTTTTTGCAATATTTGTGTTCTAAATAAGCAAGGTTGAAGTTCCCTCGAAGTTATCTTCCCACTAAATCACTTGCTACTTTTTCTTCCTGATTCTTTCTCCTTGAATTAGACATTATAACTTGTGATATTTTCAATTTAAGCTATATATAGGTAATTCATATTAGACTATGCCACATTAATCATAAGATTATATATGGTACATTGACATCTCTAGCTCAATTTTCATAAATATGATAATGCAAATTTAATTTCCAGAAATTTCACTTGACGTAGTTGTCAAAATCTTTACACTTTACTATTCAGGAAGTAAATAATAATTAACCCATTTATAACTGAGTTTGAATCAATTGATATAAATTAAACTTTTCTACCTAAAGAGAAAAAAAACTGATAACCAATGGACCAAGTAGGGAAAATTGATAAAAGTAATGAATATGAATTATAAAAAGTTGATGACCATTTAATTTAACTTAGAAAGAAAAATTAAAAAATTGCTTATCTTGAAAAGTTTAATCACCATCCTGATCACACATGCTAATCATTGATTTTTAAGAACAATGTGAAGAACTAGTAAGCTATAAAAGTTAAGCCAAATCAATCTTTAATTTATTACTTGTACATATATGTAAACCAATCTGTAACATTGAAACTCTCCATATTAAGCAAAAGATTCATAAAAAGAAAAACAAAGCAGAGGATCATTATATATCCCCTGCATAAAAAAAGAATGAATTTTTCCACTTTCCACCCTAAAAAGAATGTCATAACCAAAGGGTTAACAATAAAATTTATATATAAAGATTAATATTTCAGAAGGAAGCACTTTTCTTGGTCTTGTAGCGATATAGAACTCTCTTCTTCTTGCCTGAATTATTTTCAACAGTGAGAACAATCTTTCCAAGTTCAGTGTTCTTGAAAGTGTTTCTAACCGGTTCTTCAGTTGAACTCATTTTCTTGTTCTTTTGAATTATAATGGTGTATGACCCTTCATCATTTGGTACAAATTCTTCCTTGTAATTCACTTCCCACCCCAAAACAGTCAAGTCCCATAGTAATGTAGCTCCAACCTGTCATCAAATAGCAATTAAGTCTGTCATTAAACAGAAATAAAGTTTCTTAATTAATTAGAAAATGTGCTCTAAACAGGAAAGGAAATCAAAACAAATTTGTTTTTTCTTTTGTCTTTATTTTAGTACCTCTCCTGCAGTGATCTCAATAGTTGCAGTTGATCCTGATTTGATGATGAGCTCAGAAACTTCACCATCTTCCTTGGAGAATTCAAAATCACTTTCTCTCTTGAAACCACCATATTGAACAGGGATTTCCTCTGCTGGAATGTACCTTTTAAAATTACCAGGTTTTTATCAGCAATCTTGCCACATATCTTCAACAATATTCAAAATAAAATAACAAAAGATAACAACTTACTTGAGTAAGGTCTCAGTGACCTTAGCAGGACGAGCAACAACGAACTTGCTCTTGCTTCTTTGGGTTAAGAAACGTGATAACAGAGAATTTAAAGCATAATACCAAAATGGAACATTTATAAATATCTGCAATTTATATCACAAATAAACAAGTCAGACTATTGTGGAAACAGAATGAATAAATAGAATTCGAAGCAAGAACAAGCAACATATTTACGGAACTTACATTTCTTGCAACAAATTCAGGATAATTGTCTTGCAAAAGCCCAACAGCTTGGTTCATGGCAACTCTAAGCTCTTTCTTTGAAGGAGAAGGAGAATTCTTCAGATCACTAATTTGAAGCAAAGAAGTAACACCACCAGGCTTCAAATCAAGTTTTCCAATTCCCTTTTCCATCAGCTGAAATCTCCATCTCAAGAACTGCTTTCTGTTCTCATCAGTTCCAAGTGCTTTTTTGTAAAGCTCTTCATTTCCAAATACTCCATATATGTTGTAACAAACAGGGTGACCTTCTCTATCAATGCCATTCATGTAAAAGGCCGAGCTTAGATCTACCTGTAAATCTTCTTCCAAGATTGAATCAATCTTGGATTCTTTCCTCCATTGAAGGGTTTTCTTTAGCATTTCAAAGGCATCATTGACTTTGAACTCTCTAGCTCTCAAGAACTTCAAGAGAATAACATCTATGCCTTCTGCTCCTTTGCTAGGCAAAAGAGGAATTCCCCAAAGAGCAATATCTTGGTCAATTTCATTTCCTTCTACTTTCTTCTCTTCTTCGCAATCTTTCTCTTGTTTTTCCTTCTCTTCATCTCCTTCTTTCTTCACTTCTTCATTCTTTTCCCCTTCTTCTCCTTCTTTCGCTTCGCTTTCTTTCTCTTTCTTCTTTATCTCCTCTTTCTTGAAAATATTATTTCCAAGAATAGCTTCTTCGAGCTTTGATTTGAGCTCATTCAAGGCTTTTTTCTCACAATCTTTAAGATCGGATAAGAAATTGCTCTCTTCTTTATAAGAAGAACTCTTTTGAACTGTTTTAGGCTTAGGCCCATCATCACTAACAACTTGTTTCACTTCATTATCCACTTGAACATCTTTCTTGCTTTCTTCTACAATCTTTTTAGGCTCTTCTTCAGGAATAACAACCTGAGCCATTTGGGTTTCCTCTACTTTAGCCTCAACAGTCATGGTTACACCAAACTGAAACAACAAACAATTAACAAAAAAAATGTCAGGGGACAATATAAGAAGATTGTGTCAAAGAATATTAATAACAAAATTTAAATAAAAAAGTTTTAGAATAAGCAAGAAGAAGCAACAATGAAAGGAAATGAAACAGACCTCAAATCTTGGATTTCTCGGTTAGTCTTTTCTGGCTCCAAGCCTCCAAGATCTTCTTTCTGGTTTGGTTTTAGCTGTGTAGTTGGCACTGGTTCTTGGAGAGTTATGGCTAAGAGGGGAAGTTTTGTAACGGTTATATATTTTTTAGGAATTCAAAAAACAAGGGGCCCACAAACGGTCACCTACCTGGTGCCAGCCACCGCATGCTGTAGCCGTTGGGGGATTCCTTTTTCCCAAGGGTCTTGCTAGCCTGGAGGCCAGCAATACTTTGGGTGGGAGAATCCTTTGGGACCCACAGTTTTTGTCTGGCAACAAAACGTTGATCTGGTATCATCAACGGCATCGACTTAGACAAATGTCATATGCTAAGGGATTGCTTTGACTAGAACATATGAGTGGCATCCCTTCTAAACGAAATTAACGAAAATATAATTTTTTTTATTAAAATAAATGATTTATTACCACACTAAAAAAAAATAAAAATATTAATAATTTTTAAAAATTTATAATTTTATTAGTTTGGTGTATGGGTCGACTGTAGACCCATCTCAAACTAATTTTATTTATGAAAATATATTTGTTTGTATTTTTTGAGAATTATTTCTCCAGTTTTTGTGACGTCTTTTTTAAAATATATATATAATTCATTAATTATAATATCAAACATTAGAAATAACAAATACTTTTATGGATCATTTATGGAATTTCACTGTCAGAAACTAATAAAGTACATTGATACTTTAACAAATCAAAAGATTATATATATTTTTTTTGAATAATAAAATTAAAAATAAAAGAAAGACAATATTATATGTTTCTACTTGAAGATGATCTTAACAAAAGATGTAAATTTTCATAGTAACAACTAATTCTTTAATTGATTTAGACGATAAAATAATAACTCCTCTAAATCTTGTATTCCTAAATTGATTTTTTAAAAACTTACAACATATGACCTATACAGATAAATTTCATCATTATGCATCGGAACAAATTGCACTATCAGATTTCATAGATGGAGGTCCACATTTACAAATCAAGATATAAAGGCTCAAATCAAATAGAATCAAATATTAAACTTTTATTTAGTAATAAACCCCCCACAAAAAAATGAACCAAACTCTCTATGGAAGTAAAACAATAAAAACCAAAAACAAATCTATAATAGAAAAACAGATCTGAGTTTAATAAAAGTGAAGAGATTAAAAAAAAAAAAAGAGTGGTGTTGTTTTTTTTTTTTTTGAATTTTCTTATGTTATTTTTTTAATTTATTGGAGAGTTTTATAGGCCGAAATAACAATGCAATCTACATAATAAGGATAATCCTCTCCTTGGCTCACCAAATTGATAAAAACACATGTGATCGAAGGGACTCGACCTCGAGACTTCTCACTTCTAACATAAGTGAAAATATCAATCAAACCGCCACCTGTTAGCAATTTTTTGGTGTTATTAATTAGTCTTTTTTTTTTTTTTTAAGGATATATTACATAGTCTTTCAACTGCTATATAATTGTTAAAATCTAGTGTGATATATAAAGACTAACTCATACTATCACAAACCCAAGAACTCATAATATGAATTGAATTGTACTAAAAAAAAAAAATTTGAATTGAATTTGAAATTTTATTTATGATAATATAATTAATCCAGCCATTAAATTATTAGCATAATGATCTTTTGCAATCTCTGTTCATTATTCAGTTAGAAAATGTCAGTTAAAAACCGATGCTCTGACATATTCTTCTGTTTAATATGCTAATAATAATAGTTGTGCATGAAAATTTCGTTGGAAGCATATATTTCCTCAATTTTCCAAGTGTCTTAAAATAATAATTTTTTGATAACAAGAAAAACGCATCTATTTATATAAAATTTAGTATGTCTAATGCTTTGGACTAACTGATGGCATATATTCATTAACATCACAACAAGAATTGGAAATTTTTCCACTGGTATCTAAAAGCCCACTCTATTCTGACTATATCCGGTTCCGATTCGAATACTTCAGAGCTTATATAGAGGGCGACTCTGTCAACATGGCATTTTTCATACAAGGCTCGAACTAGAGATTTTTAATTAAAAGAGAAGAAGTCTCATCCACTCTATGCCAACCACCGTTAGTTTCAAACTACACACACATATATATATATATATATATATAAGTGATTATCAAAGACTACCTGTTTTGATTGGCATTTGACAGCAAATACTACCCACCAACTACAAAAACATGGAAATCTCACATGATAGATTTTGATTCATCAAGCATTTACAAAGACATGCTGTCCAAGCCAAGGCAATATATATAATATATATAAAGAAATATTATTTATTTTTCTTCTTTTTATTTTGGGTGAATTATTATTTAGTTATTGTGTTATGGCATATTACACCAACTAGAACCTCTAATTTTTTAAAAATTAATTAATGATCCTTGCAATTATAACCATCTAATTATATAGTTCTTTTGTTATAATTTATTAAGACTTTGTTTGAAAAAAGAGGGGAAGAAAAATAGTGGAGGAGAGAAATGCAGAAAATATTGAAGTATTAAATATTTTCCTTCTTTAGTTATTTTTTTACAAATGTGTTTGGATGAAAGAGAAAAAAAAATGAAAGAAAGAAAATAGATTATATTTGGTATTAAATAATGCAATTTTCAACTCATTCATTATTTTCTCTCTAATTTAGAGAGATTCCAATTTTATTGCCCAGAAAAAAAAATTGTGCAAATTTTTATTTATGATATTTTTCTCATTCTTTTTTTTTTTTTTTTTTAGAGAAAAAAAAATGAAAGAAAAGTAAAAATAGATTGATATTTGGTATTAAATAATGCAATTTTCAACTCATTCATATTTTCTTCTCAATTTAGGAGATTCCAATTTTATTGCCCAGAAAAAAAAAAATTGTGCAAATTTTTTAATTTTAATGATATTTTCTCATTCTTTTTTTTTTTTTTTTTTTGGAGGGATAATTTTCTCACTTTTTTCCAAACAAAAGAAAGTCATTTCACTTTATAGATTATCCTTAACAATTCTTTTCCTTAAAAAAAAAAAAAGGAAAAAAATCTAATAATGTCTAAATGAAGAAAGTCAAAAAAAAAAAAAAGAAAAATCTAATAATGTCTAAATGAAGAAGTCTTATTTTTTTTTTTTTTTTATAACCAAATTCAAAAATTGTAGAAAAAATTTGCCTAGACGGGTCCATCCTTCACTTTATAATTTTACTGGTTGGTACATAAGTGGAGCTATAGACCCGGTCTAAGTAAGTTTTTCTCAAAAATTATATCCATTTACATTCTCTTTACATATTTTCTTTTCTTAAAAAAAAAATCCAAAAAAGCCTTAATTTTTTTAACCAAATCAAAACCTCATTTCCCTTTATATTTTCCAAACAAATTAAAAAAATCATTTTCCTTTATATTTTCCTCGCATATTTTTCTTCCTTCAAATAAGGCCTTAGTTTTCTCATAATCAACTCAAAAATAAAAAAAATAAAGCCTTAATTTTCTTCAAATAAAGCCTTGGTTTTCTCATAATCAACTCAAGCAGGAAAGGTTGCTGTGATGTGCTTGCTAGGGGTGTACATGAGCCAAAAGCACGTTCGCTGTCTGTTTGAGTTCGGCTCAAAAAAATTTAAAAGAACTCTGCTCGAATCAAGTTCAAACTCAAATTTAATGATGTTCAATTCGAAAGTTCGTCAAACCTTATTGAGTTTTTATATATACATATATATCATATTTATTTTAAACTTCTTTAAATATCGAACTTCAAGTCGAGTTTAAATTTAAAATTTTTTTAATTAAAACTCCAAATTGAGCTTGAATTGAACTCGAACTTTCATCGAGCCAAATTCAAATCTAAAATATCTAATTTCATCGAATTTCGAGACGAGCTAAATTTTTTTTACAGCGCAGAAATAAGTTCCAACTCAGCTCGGCCGGATTAGGGCGCTAGAGCTTGCCCTTAACTGTTCTGTTCTATGTGTAGGAATAATTAAGGACCTTTTAGACTGTTTCTGCGCATGTCTGTGTCTTTTGACCTTTTCCGGCCAGCAAATTATTCCTGAATTTGCGGGGGGGTCTGCCACACTGCCACATGGCAGTTATTTATTGGTCCACACCACATGGCTCTGTCTATCTAGGGGCACACCACACCTATAGGTTGTCACAATTGCGTATGGCTGGACAGCTTTGTGAGGTGGGATTTGATTCGGTTCAACTTTAAACTTTTTAGTTTGGTTTTGATTTATAGAAAAAAAATTTTCAATTTAATATGATTCTTAAAATCCTAAAAAATAATAAAATTTAAAAATTAGACCGAACTAAATTAATTTAATTTAATTTAATTATAATTATAATTTTGATTTGGTTACTTTTTTAAAAAAATTTAATTCATTCAATTTGAATGTACAGATCGAATTTAATTTAAACCGAACCGATATAATGCATACCTTGACAGCTGTATCTCTGAAACTATAAAAATGTTTCCCATTATTGATTAATTGTGGTCAACTCCACAGCTAAGAAGACCTATATTCTTTTCCATTTTTTAGCGACAATTTGTATCGTTGTACCATTTTATTAATTTTTTTTATACCTTAAATTTAAATTTTCATTTTAGTATAAGATATTCTCAAATTAATTTAATTTATAACATGGTTATTTGTTTTCTAAAAAGCTAAATTTACAAGGCAACTTATTTCAATAAATAAAAAAATACAATAATAAAATAATAACCACATATCATCTCTATTCCATAATACTTATCACGTTTTAAATTTCACATTTGAAATTTTATATCCCTTAAAAAAATTATTAAATTTGTCTAAAATATAATAAATTATTGAATAAATTAACCATGTTACCTTCAATTTAATATTAATTCTCTAAGAAAACCATTAAATTGAAATAATAATTATAGCATGTATAAAAGGTAAACATGAAAAAAAATATTTATTAGATTTTAAAATTACAAATACAATAAATATTTTGAAACAAATTATTTTCTGAAATGTAACTAAATATTATGAAACGAAGCTCGTAACTAATGTTAATCGAAAAAGCAAAAATACATATCTTTAAATGTAAAATTTGCAATTTTCCGTGATATAATTATAAATTAAATGTCCAAACTTTGAATTTTCTATCTAAATAGAAAAATGCCCCCAATCAAATATTTCAACCCCAAAATAATTTGCTATGCTCTTTTTTTTTTTTTTTTTTTTTTTTTTTTTTCAACCTCCAAAATAATTTGGCTATGCTATTTTTTTTTTTTTTTTTTTTTTTTTTCGGGCTTAAATGTAGCCCGCCGCAATTGCCACTAGGATAATTGGAACAACGTTATAGCCAAAAAGATTTGGCTGACTAGGCACGACAATAGGCTGCTTGTTCAGCGTGATAAACAAGTGATCTCCAAACATGAAATAACTGAATTGCCACTTACGATTTTTTTGGTCCCAATTTTCTTTTCTTTTCTTTTTTATTTTTTTTTTTTTTTTGCTCTAATCATGAACCTAGAAATCCCTCTTTGCTTCATCTCAAGCCCTGTCTATTGCCCACAACCAAACCTCCTATCCTTCTATCAATTTCTTTTCTTTTTTTTTTTTTTTTTTTTTGCTCTAATTCATGAAAACCAGAAATCCCTCTTGCTTCATCTCAGCCTTCTATTGCCACACCAACCCCTATCTCTTGTGGCAGGGTGGCAGCAGGAGACTGAAATGGAGATTTTTAGCAAAGGAAAATGATTTGGGACAACAAAAATAATAAGTGGACGACTTAGTCATTTCATGTCTCGAGATCATGAGTGAAGCCTAAGTGGCGCCTAGTCAGAAGATATTTAAAGATGAATCAAAATCTTGTCTTCAAAGATTTGATTTACAGAAATAAAGCACTAGCTTGCAAAAATTAGATTACTGGGTTACCTACCATAATTAAACAACAATTTTGATGGTATAGTGATCACCTTAATATAGGACAGTTCTAGGAAAAAAATTTACAGAAAAAAAAAAATGAAAAAGAAAAGAGAGATTTCAGCAATATATCATCTTAATCTATACCTCCTACTGGAATATACAAGTGCTTTTCAACAAGATGATACAGTTGGCCATCTTCTTCCCAGATCATTAATCGATATCCATGAATTCGCCGGTCACCCTGTCAAAGGCCATGTTGCCGGATTGATCAAAATTTTGATCCATAACCTTGATATGATGCAATTGAATCTCAATTCTCAAGAAACTCAAATAAGTTGTCTTGTATTTGACACAAAGCATCCCAATAATTTCGAACCCAAGAAATTTTCTTGCAGATGTTCAAATTCAGATATTGAAAACATAACATAGTGTTTTCATACCTATTATATGACAAGACAGCTTCGCCTATGGTTCCAACAACCTTGTTTCGCACCTTCCGCACACATACCTGCATATTACAAAAATTAGAAATTCACTTATATCTAGTAATTACAAAATTAAATTTTAATGATGAAGAGAAAAATGAGTCAGAAACACATCCTTGCACAAACAGACAAATACTCTCTCTCTCTCTCTCTCTCTCTCTCTCTCTCTCTCTGCATAAAACACTGCACATGTGTGCTGATAAATAATGAATAATTTCATAGCACAAATGGACATGCACATGTAACCGACCTGAACTTGATCTAGAGGTCCAGCATGTGGATCCCTGTTACGATGAATAACAATCCCATTGTCACATTTGTTTATGAAGTGGGCACTGCCACTTATATCATACAGATTTGGAGGAGCCCCGACCCAATGGTGTAACTGTTAGAAAATTACACAGGTCAGAAAAGTGGCTGCAGTTCAGAAATAATTAAATAAAAGCAAGCCTCATGGTAACTAACCTGTCTGGGATGTGCAACAAACCAAATATGGCAAGAGTGATGTTGAGCAAATCGTTTGACCAGTGTAAGCATCTGACTTACATACTCTGTTTCAGTCCTGTCACAACAAAATTGCATGTTTCAAGGACAAACTGTAAAATCTATAACCTCCAACACGAGGACTAATTATCACAAGAAAAAAACTCATATAATTATTTTAGTTTTCTTTTGACATTTCGGATGAGCTTATTCCTTCAGTTTATTTTCACCAAGATCTATTTTCTATAATGAGTAACTATCATTTACAGAAACTCCTAGTCATAGGCATTTACACATTTTGGAAACGTTCCGTCGTATCCTTTTCCATGTATAAAAGACAGTTTCACCGTGTAAAATTATATTTATTATCGTTCCCCCGTACTGTTTCCGCATTTCCACATTTCTTCGTTTCCATTTCCGTGCAACATAGATGAGTAGAAAATACAAGAATGAATGAATTGTGGTGATTGAGATTAGCCTTGTATTATCATACAATTAGAGGGTTGTGCAGTGCAGAACAGAAAATTTTCATATCCATGTACCCATAGGAGAGGGGTGCATTAGTTTCTAAGAGTTGAAAGATTGGGGAAAAAAAAAAATATAGGTAGCCTATGTGGTGAAATGCCCAAATATGGATTAAAGTTGCCAACAAATACACTGTGACATACAACTATTTCTTCAAGAAAAAGAGCCTAACCTAAGCCAGGAACACTTGCAAGAAATAAGTAAAGATAAATAATACATGAAGAAACACTTCCAAAATTTCTTCAGAGATACGAGGGACATTCATAGTCACCAGAATTCAGTACATACCTGGACCTGAGCCAACTGAATAAATCAAATCCTTAATTGTAATTACTTTGAAATTTATATTAATGGGAACTGAAAGACTCTAACATGCAAGAAGCTTACAACTTGACCAGATTGTCTAATGCAAGAATGTTAAATAAATGCATCAACAATAACCAGAACTTTAAAGCTCTATAGATCAGATAAGGAGCAGTAACATTTTCAGCTTAAAAGTTGGACAAATCCAGCATTCTAAAGCTATGAAAAAATAATACTACCAACCATTCTACCATTAGCAGTAAGTTTAATTACTTAAAAATTATATTAATGGGAACTTAAAGCCTCTAAAATGAAAGAAGCTTACAAATTGATCAGGATGTTAAGTAAATGCATCAACAATAACCAGAACTTAAAAGATCCGTGGACCAAAAAAATGGTGGTGACATTTTCAGCTTAGTCTTTGCACCAATCTGACATTCTAAAGCTATGACCAATAATAATACTAGCTATTCTACAATTAGCAGCAATTGTCAAAAAGATAAAGGATATCATAACCACTTAGAAATTCAAATAATGCAGTAGTTTCAATGCAACAATGGTAAACATACGTATATAAAGTGGAAAGGTGGAAAATTGTGAAGAACTTAGGAACGAAGATGAAACAAGCGTCAAAACCTCACATGCTAATAGGACGCTGATGGTCAAGCTCATTGTAGGGATCAATTACAAGTCCATGCACTCCATGCCTCAGAACTGCTGCTTTTGCAAGATCAAGAACCCAATTTATGCTTGGAAGTTTGTCATCTTCACATCTATTATATGGTCATACGAAAAGCATATAGATAATGACATCACCTTAAGGAACAATATCATGGAATAAATCAGAAAGACAACAGTTCGATCAAACCTGAGCATATCAAAATCGTCATATCATTTTTCAAGTATTAATCAAAAAATTTTAAAAAATAAATAGTTGAAAATAGCACATCAAACTGCTAACTCATCAAAAGACATTGTGATTTGAGAGCTCCAAGAATCATATATATTCCTTCTTCTTTCAACACTTTAACGATAAGCATTACATGACAAACTAGTAAGACCCTCAGATTTAGCATTATGGGGCCTCCCCTGTATCCTCCCCATGTCCAGCGCCCCCCCGCCCCCCCACCCCCCCTTCCGAACAGCTGCGGGGGTACAGTCCAACCTTCTCAACTTTTCAAAATTTTCTCATCACATCAAGGTTTGGAAAATATTATCCTCGGGCACAATGCAACATTTCGGTCTAAAATAAGTCACTTCAGTCATTTGTATTTTGTCATTTAGTGAGGTTATTTCCTATATAGAATTGGTTAATATATATTTTGGGATTCACAATCCTAATTAATAGGACACAGAATAGTCTTCACAAAATACCTATAAACCCTAGACATTAATATTTCCTCTCTTCTTTGTTCTTCAATTTTTTGATCTTTAAAGGTTGCCTGCCACATCAATCCAAGAATCAGTTTGAAGCTACCACCAAAAATTCTCTACTTTTCTCACTAGCCAGACCTTATTCAATGTCTTAACCTGAACTCCCTTCTTTGTCTAATCTGAATAAAAAACTCACAATTACTTAAGATTTTGCCCCCGAGAAAAGCTTCGGTAGTCTGATCCTCAATTAGTATTACATCAAATACTTAAATTTGCAGCTTTATGCCTATTTCGGTAACGTACAAAACAGAATAAATTACTAATAACATAGACCATTCATCTGTATTCTCACCATGCGTGAAGTTTCATCTCCATTGACCATCTACTTCGGTACAGAGGAGAAGACCTTGCAATATATCGATACTAGATATCGGAGAACACAAAGTACAATAAAAAGCTGCACCACCTCTCTCAGCAAATAAATCCATAAACAAAGCACTAATTATCATATAAAGGTAACCGTATGAAATACTATTCCGAGTTTTATGGTCAATTATTCCATTTTGTTGAGAATCTAGGCCCTAGGAGCAATTAATCAAATCAAATTCAATTATTTATTTAATATTGGGCTTATAATGAGTTGGGCTTACCTTTAACACAAAATGTTTGGAAGAATCTAAGGCCTAGGGGAAGCAATTAATCAAATACAATTCAAATTATTTATATGTTAATATTGGGTTCAATAATGAAGGTTGGGCTTACGCTTTTAACACAAAATGGCTTAGAACTTTTGGCTTGTTGGGCTTACCTTTAACACAAAATGGCCTTAAGCCATTTTGGTTGGTTCACCCTTCACATTATATACCCTTTTAGTTAGTTGTATTTATCCGATGTGGGATTACTCACATACTCCAACGCATTCCATTAAAGTAATAATAGGCAAAAAAGTTTTTCTTCTCTATAAACCAATGACCAAAACTCTTGATTATACCATCCAAATAGATGTGTAAATCTATAAGCTAAGACCACCAGAATCACATCAGTTTACTGTCCTAATCAGCATTCGCAAAATAAAGCTGAAGACCTTCAGTACATTGAATACTCAAGGATAGGCTCGATATGCTAATCTATGAACATTAACAATCATACCAAGATCCAAGCAGTAAAAACGAGGTACTAGCATTGACCAAAATAAACCACAATGCAGGTTATAACTGCGTGCAAAACTAAAATAACCAAGCAGACAGGATTAACAATGATAGACAGAAAACTCTAAAATATAACTCACCTTATGAGGTAAAATGTATCATTCAACCACTGCTTCCCTTCCTCGAAATCCTCAACAGTCATTCGTTCAGCAGTCCCTCCATATCTATGTTGAAGATAAACAAATAAATAAATAAATAAAGCATGGAAAAAAGGAGTAGAAATATAAAACTCACAGTTTCCAGTCTAGCCTTATGTTTCACCACCTAAATTTCTTTAGGAATGAATGAGAGCAGGATGAATGGACTTCAAATAAAAGGCCCTACTCTTCCTTCTCCTTCATTTTCCTCATGTTCACATTGTTAAATTAAAGTGCCAAGAATTCTACAGAATGAACTGATTAGCTCATGTTTACAGCCATTTCATGGCTTAACACTTGACTTGGACACTTAGTAATCCAAGCCAAATGTAAGCAGTGGGCCACCTCATGCTTAATGGCTGAGGGATTTTTTTTTTTTTTTTTTTTTTTTTTGAGGGTTTTTTTTTTTTTTATTTTTTTTTTTTCAATAACCGAAACTGGACAGGTCGAGTTGGTTGATCATGGGTGCCCACCAAGGTTTACCAAACAGACACAAAAAACATTTTTTTTTTTTTTTTTTTTTTTTCAATAACCAAACTGGGACAGGTCGAGTTGGTGATCATGGGTGCCCACCAAGGTTACCAACAGACACAAAAAACAAAATAGTAGTAGAGTTTAAAAAAAAAAAAAAAAAGCTGTAATAGTAGTAGAAATAACAACTGAAAAAACAGAAGCTAAGGAAAAATAGAAAACATTTTCAACCACTGATTTGATCCATTATGAAGGGATTATATTTCTCCACTTGATGATAGATTTCGTTGTCCATCTACAATAAAGAAATATACCCATTACCAAAACAACCAAACAGAAATATTATGAGAAAACCAACTCATAATTTCCAATGTTATGGACATGCATTATGGTCAAGGTTGGCATGATACTGAGGACTTTCCATCCAGATGGTGTGGTGTGTTTTAGAACAATCAAAAAAAAAAAAACAAAAAAAAAACACTTAACAAAATAAGTCTGTAAGATTATTTGAGTTAGTCATAAAGGAACTGCATTTTTGAGTGAGCAACGAAATACATCTTACCCTAAGTACAAAAAGGTCACTAAGAAACAAGGTTAATATAACAAAGAGTAAACTGAAGGAATTCACCCAACTCACTGTGCATCAAAAAAGGGTTTCTTTATGTGCTTCTCCAAAAGTTTTCTAGCGTGCTCCCGAACCTATATAGAAAAGAGAAATGACAAGAGTAAGATGAATTTCAGTCACAAAACATCATGCATAAACATAGTGTACTGAGGCTTGAAAAGGTCCATTAACTAATATCTACAAAAAACAAACAAGGACACACAACAAAAACTGACATGATCATAATTAGTAATTTAAAACTGCAACTTAACTAGAAATCTACAGAAACATGTTGCTTGAAATTGATCAATCATATAATTGAGTATTTACAATTATTTCTCATGCTACTGTTTTGTTGGAAAGCAAATAAATTGTAAATATGGACAACTTGGAAATGCTACTTTAGTTTCATCAAAAGTTAATATGATTAATCCAGTTTAATAACATTTAATTTAGCAAGATCACCAGGGATTACACTTCAAAGAATTTTCAAATAATAACAGCAGATGCAGCATATTGTACATGCATATATGAAGACAGCAAGTGAAAACTTTTATCAAATGCCACACAATTGAAAACACAAATTGACGAGGAACTAGCTTACTTTGTTCTCCATGGAGCAAAGTGCAAATTTCCAGCCTTCACTTCTGTTAAGATTGCATAAGAGTGCATCAATCCACTCACTCTTACCAGAATTGGGAACCCCAGATACTATGGTCAACTCTCCTGGCACAACCTGGTAAGAATATGAAACTTAAATTCTAATCACTTTATGCTTCTAAGGTGATTTCAGATGAGTGGTCGATACATCTTAACCTGATTTGCTAATATTAATTCAGAACGGAACTTAAGGACAAACACTACTCACAAAGAAAATAACAAACAATGCTACAAATACAAATTCGATTTTTTCCCCAAGTACTGATTGCATGGAATATGACCTTCATAATTCCACATTTATAAACTTTTGAAGAAGACATGAAGGCGTCATCTTTTAATTATTTTCTCCGTTTTTAACATTTAATTTAAAGGGCAGCCTAGTGTATGAAGCTTCCACCATGCACGGTTTCAGGGAAGGGTCAGACCACTTTAAGTCTAACATACATAGCCTTACCTTACATTTTCCACAAGAGGCTATTTCCACGACTCAAACCCATGACCTCCAGGTGACAGGGCAAAAAATCTACCATTGCATCAAGGTTCCCCTTCTCTTTTAGCATTGAATTTGAGATAGGTAATTATTGTTCCCAGGTTTCAACATGAAATTATGTGGTAGAAACTATGCCTTCAGATATCATAATTCAGAATACAATGATATTTCAATCCCTAGAACATGGATTAAAATTTTTTTGGTGTTTCAAACCACTGTCCAGTCATTTTATAACGGTTCTAGCGACCACAGAATGACAATAACCAAAGTAGCAAAAATGAATTCACAGCACAAAGTTCATATAAATTTCGGTCACAGACAGAACCAAACGAATTCACAGAAGTTCACATTAAGTTTGGTCGCAAACTGCTTTTCTTTGTCATCAATCTGTTTTTTTTTTTTTTTTTTTTTTTTTTTTTTTTTTTTTTCTTATGCACAATCTTGTTTTTTTGTTCGTTTTTTTTTTTTTTTTTTTTTTTTTTTTTTCCAATTTAATGGCTTTTCTTCACATATTTTCAGCCAAAAAAATCATATCACATCCAATTGGCCAATTTAGTTTCTAAAACTAATTGGTTTAAATAGAATAAATTTTTAAAGAGTCATATTTTATAACCATTGTCCTTAAAATGAAGAACAAAAAGAAAAGCAAAAAAAATAAAAAAGAGAAATAATTGCAATAATATTTAATTTATTAAGTGGACTGTAAATACAAAATATATGCAATAAAAATTGAAAATTATGTGTTGTTTATTCCAACAATCAAAAGCATCGGATAAAAAATTGAAAAAATGATGTTAAGTTTCACGACTTCTTTGTTTCCTAATCAACAATAATTTAATGGCAACACCCACAATCTGCAAGAAAAAAAACATAAAATTTATTTATATTATTAGTCTATTGCAAATGCATTTAGCAAGGAAATAGAAAAAGCCACCCTTTCTTAGCAATGAATCAAGCCCTTAATCATTGGATAAAAGGATACATTTTCAAAGTTTATGTATTTTTTAACCCAACAATTTTATTTATCAGCAACCATTGACAAAAAATCCATTAAACAATTACTTGGGGACGGTGTTATCCATTATTATGAAACTCCCAGATATCATTGACAATAATATTGTAACTCCAAAAAAAAAACTTATATTCTTGAAGCAATGGGATGAGAAGGGAAGAACGACAATGAGTGGAAATCGTTATACAACATTAAAATATGAAAAGGCTAAAACAGTTACACATTAATATATTGATACATGACATATCTAATTTGTATTTTTTCTTACTATGGTTTAGTGGATAATATTTCTCAATTCAAATGCTCAAATAAAATTTAAAAAGAATTAGAAGGATCTAGGCTCTATGTTCCGGAAGGAGGGTTTCATTAAATAATGATATTTCTCACAGAATCAAGTGTAGTGATGAGAAATTGGAGATGCTACAAGTTTACTATGCAATGGGAAGATATCTTAAACAAGGTGAGGAAGAAAGTTTTATAGGAAATGATACCCAATTTATATGGGAGTAAATGTTGCGGCACCGAATGTCAGACATTATTCACAAGATGAATGTTGTGGAAATGCAAAATGCTGAGCACAGATGTCATGCGGTCACACAAAGCATATCGAGTGCTGAGCCCAAAAAATTTAACCATGAATCAGGACAATCACACTATTTATATACAGGCATGCAAGCCTCCTAGTAAGTTGCAAATAAATGAGAGAAAAGAGAGCGTTGACCGATAGTAATTCAAACTGAGTACATATAGATAATAATAACAGCTCAATCCCACATTTTTTTTTTTTTTTTTTTTTTTTTTTTTTTTTTTTTCCATTAATGGCTTTTCTTCACATATTTCAGCCAAAAAAATCTATCACATCCATTGGCAATTTAGTTTCTAAAACTAATTGGTTTAAATAGAATAAATTTTAAGAGTCATATTATAACCATTGTCCTAAAATGAAGAACAAAAAGAAAAGCAAAAAATAAAAAAGAGAAATAATTGCAATAATATTTAATTTATAAGTGACTGTAAATACAAAATATATGCAATAAAATTGAAAATTATGTGTTGTTTATTCCAACAATCAAAAGCATCGGATAAAAATGAAAAAATGATGTTAAGTTCACGACTTCTTTTGTTTCCTAATCAACAATAATTAATGCAACACCACAATCTGCAAGAAAAAACATAAAATTTATTTTATATATTAGTCTATTGCAAATGCATTAGCAAGGAAATAGAAAAAGCCACCTTTTTAGCAATGAATCAAGCCCTTAAATCATTGGATAAAAGTGATACATTTCAAAAGTTTATGTATTTTTAACCCAACAATTTTATTTATCAGCACCATGACAAAAATCCATTAACCAATTACTTGGGGACGGTGTTCCATTATATGAACTCCCAGATATCCATTGACAATAATATTGTAACTCACAAAAACTATATCTTGAAGCAATGGATGAGAAGGGGAGAGACAATGAGTGGAAATCGTTATACAACATTAATATGAAAAGGCTAAACATTACACATTAATATATTTGATAATGACATATCTAATTGGTATTTTTACTATGGTTTAGGGATAATATTCTCAATCAAATGCTCAAATAAAATTTAAAATTTATGAATTTAGTAAGGGTATCTAGGCTCTATGTTCCGGAAGGAGGGTTTCATAAATAATGATATTTCTCACAGAATTCAAGTAGGATGGATGAAATGGAGGAGTGCTACAAGTGTACTATGCAATGGGAAGATATCTAACAAGGTGAGAAGAAAGTTTTATAGGAAAGTGGTGAGACCGGCAATTTTATATGGGAGTAAATGTTGGGCACCGAATGTCAGACATATTCACAAGATGAATGTTGTGGAAATGCAAATGCTGAGACAGATGTATGGTCACACAAGGTTGGACAAGATTAAGAATGATCATATTAGATAAAAGGTGCAAGTAGCAGAAGTTGAGATAAAATGAGAGAAAGACGTTTGAGATGGTACGGTCATGTATTACGTAGATCCCACATTCCCTGTTCGTAAATGGGATACTTTAGTAGCGGAGGGTGCTAAAAAGGGAAAAGGCCAACCTAAAACCACTCAACGGAAATTGTCGCGAAAGATCTACAATCTTTGAATGTTAATGAGGACATAGCTATAAATCAAACAAAATGGAGACAAGATTCATATAGCAGACCTTATTTAGTTGTTATTGCTTGTTTTATGCATTGTTCTATTTATTAATGTATCAAATGATTTTCAAATTCCTCTTCAAAATTTGTTTTTATACAAAAAGTATTTCAAAACTTTCTCTGACTTATACTTTGATTTGCATTGTAATTTGATCAAGACAGATATTGAAAACGAAGGATTCATATAGCCGATCCCAACTAGTTTGGGACTAAGGCTTAGTTGTTGTTGTTGAATTTAGTAAGGATATCAATCATATAAAAATTGTTTGTTTAACATTTTTGGCCACTTAATACTGCATCCAGTCAAACAATTTGAATACTTTCGTCCGACAACATTACATACAAAATAACTGTCAATAATTATGCTTCATTACAAAAGAAGAAAACAGGTTCAAAAAGAAAAGAAATGAAAGCTCAATTAAAAGCAATTATGCTTACTTTATATAACCCATTTAGAGCCTTCCACCCAGTTGAGGCACCCATTTCATACCCAAGAGTCCGATGATAATATGCATCAATTTCACCAAAGAAATCCTTGAAGCTGAACAATCCACGAATAGGGTATAACTCTGCATTCTCAATAACATCTCTGAGTGCAGTAGGACCCAGAAACATGAGAACCTGAGCAAATTTGATAAATCATATAACTTAACTTCAAGAAAAAGGACTAAAAAAGCAACTTCAGTATTCTTTTGACTATTATTCTTTGGGAATCCCATCAAACAAAGGACTACAACATGCAAAAATAACAGAAAAAATGGATGCAACTTATCACACTGTATGATGCATAATAAATAATGTTTATGAAAAAAACGTCCAGAGTGGAGGAGAAAAGAAGCATATAGCATATAGATATCCTTTCCAATTTGTTGAAGATGTCTCATATGAATGAATGGCTGTCACTGTTCAAATTCATTTGAATCGTATGTACAGAAATGAGCCATTTGTATCAAACCTCATTTGCATCTTTGAAATATTCGTCTTTATTTTTCCTGGGCCAACTAACTCTCCAGCATCTGCAACCCCAGAGAAAACAAATGAATACTCTTAAGTTTGTTTGGCATTAAAGTTGAAACTACTTTTGGGGAGAAATACTATTTTAGATATTTTTGGGCAAGGCAATTTAAAGTGCTATTTAGCTTTTTAGAAACTTTTATGAGAAAAATATGTGAAATTAAAAAACTTCAATGACATGTAATCAACATTTTTAATAAAGTGTTTTTCCCAATAGCAACGCCAACACATCCTATGGATTGTTGTCTCATATGACAAAGCTTAACAGCAATATCACACAGCCCTATAGATTGTTGTCCTATATGACAAAGCTTAACAACAACATCACACAGAGAATGACAAACCTTTCTCTTCCAACACGACGAGCAATCTCCTCAGCTAAAGCTTTACCAGGTTGATCTCCATCAGTGGCAAGTATTATGCGAGAAGCCTATTAAACGTTAACGTCATATTTTAAATCTAATGCCTCTCATAATGATAAGTTACATGCAAAGCACTTTAGTTATACTAACCCTCTTCAAGTACTCTTTGCAATTCCACAGATATTGATATTTTGTGTCCTAGCTTCACAAAATATGAATAAGATACATTAATTCCAAATTTCCAATATAAGAAGCATTGGACACTATCATCACTGAAACAACGAGGGCATATTGCATTATAAAATTGAAAGCATGCTAGCAAGTTTGACAATGCAACACCCTAAGGATGCCACAATCTAAGCCCAAAGCAACAAAATATTATACACATTTACAAGTTGACCTCTGAAGATGAAATCTCTATTTCCGGTCTTTCGATCCACTATTCCAGAAATAAACTTAACACTGCTCTAGAAATAACTTCATCTCCATAGTTAAGCAAGTAACACAACTCAATTTCTATTTCTGTAGACTTTGAGCAGTCATAGAAAAATACCAACCTACAAACAGTACTCCCCCATTGGCTAGACCAGCTAGAATTGATCCCAACACTTTACAATGAGTTCCAAAAAACATGTCAAGATTACATACCTCCACAAAAAAAATTCTATATATTGACTTTTTAAATATCAGATAAATGCAGGATTATTGTGTGTCATGCATAAGCATAGTTGTTTTAAAATGCAAGAGGACACAAAGTTAATCATTTTTTCTTTTGGGTCTTGTAGACATATTTCTTTTTCTTACACAGGTTGGGAATCCCTTCTTATCCTTTAAATAGCGATTTATTTTTGTTGTTTGTCAAAATACAAGTTGTAGAAATGAAGTTGTTAAGATGAACATGTGGTCATACAAATCTAGACAAAATTAAAATGATCACATCTAACAAAAAGAGCAAGTCGCGCACACTTGGGAAGATAAAATGAGAGAAGGATCTCTGAGATGGTTTGATCATGTCTTAAGTAGACCTCCAAGTGCTCCTGTTTGTAGGTACAATACTAGAAAAAGATAAATCTAAAACCACATGGAGGAAAGAAGTGACAAGATACCTATTTCTTGGTATTAGTGCAGATTTAGAAATAAATAGAGCAAAATGGAGGTAAATTCATAAAATCGACTCAACTAGTTTGGGATTAAGGCTTAGTTGTTGTTGTCAAATAAATCCTAAATTAGGAAAATTGAAAATTGAGTCAATAATTTATATTGATAAATATTGTAAAAAATTTATATTAACGAGAGAACTAAACTATAAATAAGGAGATAGAAAGGATCAAGATTCAGTTATAACGACAAAAACAACAATTATTAGGTGGCAGACCTTGTCTTTAGGTGGCAAGTCCTTGGAGGAAATTGATGGAGGCGCACCATCAGGAACACTCACACAATTAAGAAATCCAGCTTCTTCCATTGCAAGCTTGTCCATTTCGCCTTCAACCTATTTCCAGAAAGTAAATATAAAGTCTCACTTCTCAAGTTAAGTTGTCAAGCTAATAGGTGGGAAGACTTTCCATCAATGGAAAAGAAGACATACAATGATGATTTCATCAGCTCCCTTGATATCATCCAGCCCATAAAATATTTTTTCTGTATCCTTTTCCTGAAAAAGATGCAGAAAGATTAAAACATAAAATTCAATTTTCTTGAATTCATCAAATTAAGCATAAAATTCTTCCTATCTAGAATGAAGGGAATGCCAATTGCTAAACTTTTTTTTATCACTCTGAAGAAATTTGTTCTCATTTTGAAAAAAGTATAATACAGAGCAGTAGAACTATCAAGCATTAATCTAGAAGCTTAAGTAATTTTAAGAAAGAACATGAAGAGAAATTCTGATTTGATATTTTTTTCCATTTTATATGTGCTTCATTTATGTATATATTAATACAATTTATATGCCTCCTCAAAGGCAAGCTCTTTTCCAAATCATGATGTGACTGATAGTTTCTCTTAGGGATCTATAAGTAGTTTAATTATTCTACATTTTTATATTTGGCTAATGAGGAAAATGGCCATAACTTCAGAACTTTTTCCAGTGTGGTAATTTCTTTTGAAATGACAAATATGGCCATAATTTTGACCATTTGAAAAATATGGCCTTTTTCAAGGGCATTTCTCAAATGCTAGGCATATGTCAAACAACCACAGCATGTTCCAAGAGAGAGAATTTCCTAGAAGAAATCCACCTGTGGATGCGAGGTTCAATCTGAGGGGTTAAAGACAATTATTATGGTTGCTTAAAACTATAAATAAAAGAGTGAGAATAAAATCCTTGGCATTTTTTTTCACACAATCATACCACATAACAAGTACCTGCCAAAATCTCTTGGTAGAATCTCGATACTTGCAGCTGGTGAGCACTCCATTTCGCCAATAAGTAAATGCTATACAAATCTGCATTAAACCATCAAAAATTACTAGACAATACAGAACTATTGCAAATTGGATTGAAATGGCTGAAATATGATATTTGCTAGCTGCCACAATTATAGATCATCAAAAAGTCACCACTCCATATAGGCAAAAGAAATCAACCACCAGTTCCACCACCAACCTTTTTGTTACAGCACCAAGGGGCAGAACCCCTTCAAACAGAAGTATAAATAGACAACAAGCAAAGCATTTCATTCTTCATCTTTCTCCCTTCATCACAATGTTCTTGACTTTTCAAACCACTCCATTACATTATGCACACACACACACACACACACATATATATACAATCCAACTATTTAGTGTACACTTCTTCTTTCACTGTAATTCTAGTTCCTATATGATTCCACACACCTGATTACCATAGCTCCTTTGCATAACACGGTTTCTCTGCAGTGTCTTTTTTGTTATTAATCGCTCAGCAAAGTAACAAAGAAGCTGAAACAAGCCCAAACAGAATGATATTAGCAAATGAATGTGCAGAAATAGATATATGCACGTCAGTATAACAAAGTCGAGAGACACTCATCATCCTAAAAAAAAAAAAAGAAGCCCTCCCCACAAACATTGCTAAAGTGGTGGCTTTCAGCCTTTCCCAATCATCATGTGGAGATCACTTTGCAGGCCCCTCATTATATATATTTCCCCCTTTGTGGCCTATTATTTACTAGGTCTGTCACATCAAAGTTTTCAAAGATTTCAGGGGCTTGTAAGTGAGCTCAAGTTTGTTAGCGAGCTCAAGCTTGTCAAATCCAAGCTTGAATGATAAAGCTTACAGCTAGTCCCAGCTCAAGCCAACTTGAAGCCTTCTTTTGGAATAACTGAACTAAGCATAAACAGGTAAGAAAATGGCTCAGCTCAGTTTGTTTGCATCCCTAAGTACTGATTTGAATGCGAAGCCGAAAGGATCAAAAAAAGTATTCAAGACAGCTGGGTGCTCATGTGCAAATATTTAGGCATACTCTAAACACTAATTTGGATGAGAAACAGTGTTGTTTTAGTAATTTATGTCAATTTAATACAGAAAAATTCGAAGTCTCTAGTGAGAAACAAACAATAAGAAAAGGGGGACTTAAAAGCAATTAACTTTTACATAGTACATCTTTCCCCAACTGTAACAAGAATAAGAAAATAGTTTTAAAATAACCCTCAAATGTCTAGAAAGGGAAAATACTTCTCCAGTCAGAAATCATTTTTAAAGAAGATTGAATCTGATCTTTGCTTCTTACTAATTAAATCACATTACATATTCTGTCCCACTGAAAGAGACATAAAATCACTATATTACAGAAAAAAAATCATAATTCTTCATCTTTAGAAGTAAAATGATTCAAATCACATGCTTAAATAACAATTCTACATGTTCAGACTTCAGACCAGGAAACATTTTTGGAAAATGGACAATTCACTATAGGAATATGAGACTGCTTTATGATTTGGAAAATGGACAGTTTGTCCCAGCACCCAGTCTGCACAACCATTTCTAGGTATATGATTCAGAAAACTATTAAACAGTCATTTGACTTCCAATACATCCCTCTTGTGAAGATCTAACCCCAAAAAATTTAGAGATGCTATGGAATAGAAACCCTCCTCCCAAATTCTCACATCAACTGGTCAATGATGCAAACAAGCCTTAACAAATAACAAATAGCAACTGACTTCCAAACACACCTAACACACCTAAGCCAACCTGCCTTGGAGTCTACAAAATAAATGCAGTCAGGGGGTTCACAAGTCACAAAAACTCTAGAAGAGGCCTTAGAAAGAATTGCAGCATCAATATCTGTAAAAATATTCACAATATGGATGTGATTGGCCCTTCAATAACCTCCACAACACAAAGCACCATGGCAGATGGCACATTAAGAACAGACCTAAATATACCAATATGGCTATAGATAACCTCAAGACATAGAGGCTGGAAACACTATAGTTAATATGAAGTGTATACACATGTTAGGTATCATCTAACTTTGCAACAATTTCAATAGAAATGGGGCAAGGAGAAGGAAAAAAGAAATTAATAACCTCATCACATGGTGGTTCCAGTTCCAGACTCTTCTCAGTGATTTCTCTATTCTTCTTAACTTTTTTTTCTTGGATTGGACTTACAAATGTGAAGTTGCTGCCTGGAATTGCATAAGGCTGAAACCAGACGAGTAGTGTTAAGGGAATAACACCTGAAACTTTTAAATAAAAACTTCGTTTCACATATCAGGTAAGCAACTCATCTTACCCTTGTTCCACCGTTCCACCCACATTTACCTCGAAAGCAATTCCAGGACGCACCACTCCTTTATATCAAAGAAGATCAAAGTTGTCACTCTGTTAAGAAATAAAAAGATAAATTGATAGGAACAAACTAAAAGAGCATACCCATCTGGATTGATAAAAAGAGCCAAAGTTTTCTCCCTTGAATCACCACCATAGCACTAACAAAGAAAAATACCATATATAAATAAAAAATTAACATTAAGAACCAAAGTCAAGAAAATGAATGCCTGACAGCATTTATGAACTGAGATTTTTGCAAATTTTAGTCAATGGAATCTGCTTTGTTGCTTACATTAGCACAGAAAACGTTATCCCAATTTTCCCAACATTTTCTCAGGCTTCATTTCTCAAAAAAAAAAGGAAAAGAAAAAAAAAAGAAAAAAACAGAAAGAAAATTTTATAATGTTAAAGACTAACCTTATCTTCTTATATAATACCATAAAAAATTGTGAACGTTAAATCCTTTCAATTATATATAAGCTTACCCTTGGACATAGTAAATGATTATGTTGTCCTGGAACAAAATTATCCATTTCAATACCCAACTCTTCCAATTTTCCCTTTAGAAGCTTCAAATTCAATGTCTGTAGATCCTCCTCCTCTCCATATACTGAAAATTGAATAAAAGAAAATTCCAAAGTTTAACGTAGTCTTTGGTATAAATCACATTGAATTCATGTCATTTGCAAATGAATTTTCATGTTGGGATTAGCTAAAGAATTCATTTTGAATATGAAACTTCTTTTTTTCGTACTTAGAATTCATTAACTTTAGTAGCTTCTACTCTTTAAAAAAATTTAGAGTTCATTTGCAAATTCTATTAATTCTGGTACAATTTAGTTGAAGCATGACCAATTCACAGAATTAAGAAGATGGCATTCAAGAAGAATTCTCATTAAACCACACGAGCTCCAAGTCTTCAAATAGGCATTTATCAGTTCAGTCAAGCAAATAATTATATCCCTAGATTAAGAAAAACCCACATACCCTTTTTTCCCTTCTGGCCTTTAAAGAAAAACCCCAAACCAAAAAAAGACCGAGATATATAAAAACATTCATAAACATAAGAATGAAAGGAAAAAAAAACCTGGCGTTGGAACAGTTGCCTGGGAAGTAAAGCCATTAGCTTTATAAGGAGGGATTTTAGATATGGGTTTTGAACAAGCTACTGGTAAGAGACGCTTGAAAGTGTGATACGGGTTTCTAGTTGAAGAGAAAGGAGGAGGTGGAGAAAGTGAAGGGAGCGTTGCAGGTTTGAAGAAGAATTTGGAGCCCATATGTAAAAGATTGATGCTAGATGGCAAAAATATGAGCTTCCGAAGATGGGTTTGAGGATTGCAATGAGCAAAACGAAGCATCATTTCATTCCTCAACAGTTATTTTGTTGGCGGATTATCTCAACAGAACGCCATTGCTGTTACAGTGAAGGAGGCGTCCAGCGGGCTACGAGGGTTTTAATTTAAGGGCTTTAAAGGGCTCTTTTGTCTTTTGGACTAATTTTTTCGTTTTCTATTATTGTATATTTTCTTTTGAATTGATAGAGTCGTTATCCGCAAACTGAAACAACCAAAAAGGAAAGAATGCCAATTTCTATCATGAATCGCTACAATCTGTTTCTGGAACGCTTTCTCGCTAGCAACAGTTGGCAGGCACCAATAGTGCACAGAGGAAGATTTCGTCTTCTCTCTAACTACGCCACCCCCAAGCTCCAAATTCTTCAATCAGGCACTTAACCTTTCTCTTTCGCTTTCCCTTTATTTGTTCAGCACTAGCATCTTTTTTCTTGACTTTGATAGAGTTTTCTTATTCTTGTTGAATGAAGCTAATAGAAAGGAATTAGAAGAGGAAAAAGTTAGGACCTTGATGCAGAAAATGGAGCTTCTTGGGATTAAATGTGATGATTCTTTCGTACCTGGAAATTTTAGTCTTTTATTCTGTCCAAAGGTAACTCATTTTCTTCATATCGCTAGGAGCCTATTACCCGAAGCTCTCAAGGTGATGCGTTTTGCTTTTACTGCAAAATTTTGGCATATGGGTATTGGGTATTATTGAAAAATGAAAATTCATTAGATAATTGATCCCATATTGAAGTGTTTTTGAGTGTTTGTTTGATTCACTCTAGGTTTTTGGTGATGTAGTGCAAAGGTTGGCAATCAATGGAGAGGAGTTTGTCTCTGCATATCATCCAAGATGCGTAAGCTGTTCGAGCTAGTGTTTCTCCTGCAGCCTGTAGTTTCATTTAGTTGTTTTTTCTATTTATTGATTATTGGACCATTTTTGAAGTTTGTGATGTGATGTCTGTAGGGATTTTGCAATGTGGCGGTGTTATCATACTTCCTGTGGATGGGCTGGACAGGTGATGCAATGCATGTGTTTATTATGATCCGTTTAGGCTTTAGAAAAATCAGAAAATGAATAAACCTCAGGCGATCTGTAACTTTTTGGTTATAGGCCTTTGCTGATAGCAGGATGACAAATGAAGGAATGAACAAAATTTTCAAAGTCAGGCCCTCTTGGCAAACAACAATTGAGGGTATAGTACTAGAACCACTGGGTGAGAAGGTATTGAGCTTGCCTTTGTTTTCTTCCTTTCACTTGTATTATTATAGGTAGTAGATTAATTGAACTAGTTGCATCTCCTTTTTTTTTTCTTTTAAATATTTTCATGCTTACAGTTAGGTCAAAAGGTCCTCAGGATGCATTTATTAGCGATCTGCTTAAAAGGTTGCAAGTGCAACAATCTGATTGGCCTTGCCTGGACTTGTTGGTAGATGGCTGGAATGCATTTAAGTCAAAACTTGACATTTATTACATTGCCACATATCCTGCTCAGCAAAATGAAGTTTGGGAATAGCCATAGTTTAAAAAAATGAATATTGCCAAAATTAAGATACAGATAATCACAACTACTCACCGTATTCCTTTTCAATTTTTTTTTAATGAATTCTTAAGAAAACTGCTGCTATATTATTGATATTGACAATAATTTGTTTTCTTTTTCAGCTAATTGCATACTTTGCTGATAGAATGATATCTGAAGAAACCCTCCGGAGAAATTCTGTTATGCAGATAGCTGGTGATCAGGTCCATGAAATTCATTAACTGCACCATTTTATTGCGTAAAGTGTACTTTAGCATGCAACTATTAGGTAAATCTCTGTCATAAATCATGATGGATGCTTGACTTATCTGGAAGTTGCAAGGCGAAGCGAAAAGTGAATATAGATAGCTCTTTGGAGTTAATGCGATATGCAGATGTGAAATTACCCTAAATTATGGTCTGATGCTGGGGCGATTATATTCTTAAATGTTGCTCATTAAATTCTGTTAGGACTACAAAAATTTTACATCATTCATTTTAAGGGAATGGATAGGAGAACTATGACATGACTCTCAATCAAATTCTGGTAGTCAGGTTGGCCATCTAGTGTTGTTTAAGTTATCAGCAGTTTGCATTTGCTGGATTGAATTTCCTTTTGATTTGAACTTAGTGATTCTTTCTATTCTCTCTGTAGTGCTGGGGCCAATGGTCTTTCTCGCTGCCCCAACTCTATACATGTACACTATTTCTTCATTGAACACTCAAATCTCAAATTGAAAAGTACTTTGACGTGTGGATCTAAATCAAAAATAGTTAACTTGGTTTTTAATTTAAAGCAGTCATATTTTGACCTCCCCGTGTTCTTTCTAATCTTTCATATATTTTTGGCAAACCTCATTATCATTCCAAACTCCTAAAATGTATTTTGGGTTGAGCAAGATTTAGATTGAAGGCAGTTTCTGGCCTCATTGTTCTTTTACCACCTGAGGCTGAAAATATATGATTGAGTTGAAAAACAACGAGATGATACATCTATCATCCTACTTCTTTGTCTAATTGCTGTCTGAAAGAGAAATGTATTTCTCTGAAATATTTAGATGATTATGATAAGGGAAGACAAAGCAAGTTTCTATTTAGCCAAGAACAACAAGAAGTACACATACTATGGTGTAATGTTGGAGTAATCCTTCATTGTTTCAATCAAGTTATCAATTCTAGAATCCTTTAATTTGTGGAAAATTGGAAAGAATAATTATCTATTTCCTTATGGAACCACATTTCTGTTAGGTCAAAAAAACTCTACTGATAGCTTAGTTATTTGGGCATGTGATAAGCTTGAAGATATAACTCAAACCTCTGAATGATACTGCTGATAATTTCAGAAAATTTAGGAATGAAGACATTCCTGCTTTGCGAATTGTGGGACTAATTGGGTTGCATCTCTCTCAGTAGTATGTAAAAGAGATTTCCCAACTTAATGCCATAGAAAATCAAAGTAGCATTTTTATAAGCAATTATGGCAAGGAACAAGAAACCTGGGAACTTTGGGCTAAGCCAGTTGCTTACATTTTTCCGTATATTTTTTTGTTTAATCTTAGCATCTGTTTGCCCCCACTCGGACCGTTCTCTTTTTTATTTTATGCTTCTGGTTTTAGGTGGAAGCTTAAGTAATTGCTTGAATTTTCTGGATTGAATCATTTCTCAATATAGCATATTCTACTTTCTTCTCCTGATGGAAAAGTGCTTGTTCATAGATTACATATTGTTTGAGCTGGTTCCAATTATTTGGGCTTATATTATTTTAATTGTGCATTTACATTTGCTTTCTCAATCAAATTCTTGTACACAAATATATCTACTCCTTGCAGCAGAGCTCTTTTACAAATATGTTTCACTTTCATCTTAATGATTTGTCTGAATCACTTAAACACCAGGATTCTGATTCTAGCTACTACTGGTTTCAGGGGGCCATTGCTTTTACATATAGAAAAAATGGAGTGCTTGTCGGTTGCAAGTACCGGACCATTGAGAAAAAATTTTGGCAGGTAATTGTTTTATCCCTACACTGTAGCATTTTAATCTGACATGTGATGATGGTGCTGTGACAAGACCCAAGTTTTTTTTTTTTTTTTTTTTTTTTTTTCTTGTACACAAATATATTCTACTCCTTGCAAGCAGAAGCTCTTTTACAAATATGTTTCCACCTTTCATCTTAATTGATTTTTCTGAATCACTTAAACACCAGGAATTGCTGATTCTAGTGCTTACTACTAGAGTTTCAGGGGCCATTGCTCTGTTCAGCATATAGAAAAATGGAAGTGGTCCTGTCTGGTTGCAGAGTACCGGAACCATTGAGAAAATATAATATTTGGCAGGTAATTTGTTCTTCCCTACACTGTTAGGCATTTTAATTCGACCATTGTGATGATGGTGCCTGTGGAGACTAAGACCAAGTTTTTTTTTTTTTTTCTTTTTTTGAAATTTACAAAACAAATGGAAAGGAATGTAATAGTAAATTACTTTTTTTTTTTTTTTTTTTTTTTTGAAATTTACAAAAAAAGGAAAGGAATGAATGAGTAAATTACATGAAATTGTTTACATAATTCATTCACTGATTCACAGGAAAATGCTACAGAGAAACATGTTGAAGGGTTGACCTGCACAGCTCTGAAATTGATCTTTACACAAGATGGGACTGTTCCTAACAATCCCACTGCTCATACTAACACTGCTGTGCTATACTTGATTCAAAATATAGTATCAGGATAAAAAAATAACCTAAAACAATCAAGTCACACCCTATTCCTAACACCTGGTGGGCATAGTTCCTTAAAAACTTCTATCTGGGGCAAGTCAACTGAGTACATATGTCAAAAAAAATTTCAAACTCTTTGAAAACGAGATTCAAACAGGAAATAGTTTAAGTTGATGGGTTTCATGTCCACAAGCTTCAATTCAGTTCTGTATTCCTGTTTCTGGTGGACTAATTTAAGATTTGACTGAATTAGACAGTCAAATATCATTGTCATGCCTTAATGTTTTAGAAATCAGAATGAACTTATTCTAACTGGAATCATATTTTCTTCTATTCAATTTCAGGATAAGGGCACAGAGAAATGGTTGTATGGGCTGGATGACATAATTGAAGTCACTGAAATTATTATTGTAAGTGCTGCCATCTTATTTGCAATTTTAACCTAATCTGTCACCCCCCCCCCCCCCATTGAAGTCACTGAAAATTATTATTGTAAGTGCTTGCCATTACTTATTGTTGCGACAGGTTTTTAATCATAATCTGTCACCCCCCTCCCCCCCAAAACTTTTGAACCAGTTTTAGATATTTGTTTATTTGCTTTTTTATGTGACTGTCAAAAGTTAAGGGGAAGGGGAATTGGAGTTTATAAACTTTCATTGGGTGAGGTTACAGCTGGCTCCTATATTAATATTGTTAGTAAGCAGTTTGGCCGTAGCGGGGACTCTATATTAATTTGTCACCACATAAATTCTGTGTCTTGAAAATGATGTTAGCCCATATCATGGTGAAATAGGTAATATGAACTGAGGAATATTCTTGTGGTTTTCTTTTTCTCTCTATAAATTCCTCTATGAGCTAATTTATTTAGTTTATTAATGTATTTCTTGTATAAACTCCACAAATATATATTATAACATATGCACATGCAGTATATCGTATACTTCTGATTTGCCCTTTGTGGCTAATTAAGAACAAAGTCTTCTTACTGTTTGAGGCTGCATCAAGAAGATATGCCTTGCTTTATAAATAATCAAAAGTATAATACACTGAGAAGACGTAAATTCTTAACAAAGTTGTACTATTTAAATACAGCAGTGAAAACTATTTCCCTTTACTTCTTTACATCACTTCTTTTGGTGTCCAGTAAAAAAAAAGGATTTAAAATTGTGTATCTCTAATTTTCCCTTACTAATCTATCCTCAGTTTCTTGTTCTATCCATTGATTTGTGTCCGGTTATATATTGTGAGTTAGGAAAAGCATATCAGTATTCTGTTGAACTGCATACGGTAGTCACTTGTGAGATAAGGTGAAACTCACTTTTCTGGCCCCCCCCCCCCCAAAACCCTGGTTAGTATTTATTGCTTTTATGCTGTCAAAGGTTGAAGGGGAATTGGATAAACTTTCATTGGAGGAAGCTGGCTTATTTAATTGTGTAAGCGTTCCTAGCGGTGCACCACAAATCGTGTCTGAAAAAGAGTTACCATCATTGGAAAAGGTATGAACTGAGACTTCTTTCTTGAGCATTATTTGTTATAGATTTTTATTAAATTATATATATACAATGCACATGCAGATACGAATCTGTTTGTGTATAAGACAAAGTCTTTCTTACTGTTTGAGGTGCATCAGAGTTGCCTTGCTTTTAATATCAAGTATATACACTGAGAAAAGTATCTTACAAGTTTCTATTTAATACAGCATGAAAATTTACTCTTACACACCTTTGGGTCCTAAAAAAGGATAAATGTAGTATCCAATTTTCTTACTAATTTCCAGTTTCTGTTTTCATTGATGTGTGGATATGTGAAGTTAGGATAAAGCATATCAGTATCTGTGGAACTGCAAACAGTACTTGGATAAGGTGACCACTTTCTGGGCTGTACTTGAATTGGCAATGCAGGGCTCCTTTGAGCTTTTTTCATTTATTAACTCTTTGCTTTGTTATCACCTTTCAGGTTTCTCACGTTATTCTGGCAACTGATGGTGATGCTTCTGGGCAAGCCCTGGCTGAAGAATTGGCACGCCGGCTGGGAAAAGAAAGGTACAAGCACCTCACGGTTAAGAGTTAGATGTCTGTGAATTATTCCATGCCAACACGAAATTCAGTATATATATAGTATCTTTAGTACGGGGCTAGCACTCTCTTTCTTAGTGCTTTAGTTTCAGAGGCCAAAATGCATATTTCATTTTCTATTCCACCAATGTATATGATCTCAAAGTACTTTTATTTCCTGTTATGTCCTTTTTATCAATTGTTTGCTTCAGATGTCGGCTTGTACAGTGGCCAAAAAAAGATCACTCCAGTTGCTTCAAAGATGCAAATGAGGTTAGTTTCTTGTCTTTTTACATTTAGCTAATGAGTTGCAACCGCTTGAAAATCAGCCAAGGATGTTACCTAATATCACACATAAATGGCAGTAAGCAATATGAAGTCCTAATATATTTTATTTTCTGAACTTCAATTTCCAATTGAAAAAAAAAAAATCATTCTGTTGGTACTGAAGGGGCTCGAACCCGCAGCTTCCCTAGGAGAGCCGCTGACTCCAACTATCATCCATGTATGATCCATACTAGATCTGACCAACTGCCAATCTCCTTTTTGTTCTTGTCAGCCCATCTTTGTCTCAGTAGAGTCTTTCAATGGCATGTTTCGGTCCTCTTACCCATTATTTAGGAAAAGTGAGCCACCGGATTGCAAATTTTTTAGATAAACCATGATTTTTTTCCGTGTTTCACAATACGGTCAAGCAATATAAAGTCCTAATACATTTTATTTTCTAATCTTTGGCATATAAATTTATTCAAGTGAAATGAATTTTAGTCTGTATGCTTATTCTTGATTTGGTTTATGGTCACAGGTCCTTAAGTGTTTAGGCCCAACTGCTCTGAGGAAAGTGATTGAAACAGCAAAACTATATCATGTACACACTGTGGATAAGGTGATGTAAAGCCATGTGGACTTAGCTATGAACAGATCATGGAATAGAAATTAAGAATTCATATAGCTGATCCTAATTAAGTTTTCTTCCAAACATTGAGTTTATTATTTAATTTTTGAAACTTGATCTAACAATTTGCGCTTCTAAGCTAATAATATTTTAATTCACCATAAACATAAATCAAATTCTTGCATTTAAAATATTCAAATTTATGGTTCCTAAAAATAAAATTATAACAATGTATAAAATAAATTTATGACATCAAGTGTACGCATAAATTTAAATTAATTTGCACAATTTACTCATTAAATTCGTCTTGTGAAATTAAGTATATTTTTTCCTAACTTACTAAAAGGACAATTAAATAAAACAAAAATTATTTAAATGAGAAATTTTATTTGCCTAAACTTCCAACAGAACAAAAATGTGAGCGCTAATACTCAATATGTCCACTAATTCTTAATTTTTAATTAATACATTATTAAATATATGTGCATTGTCATGAAAAAATATTCACATGTTTTTACTCTAAGTGTGGACTAATTATTTTATGTGTTTGCAATACTTTAAGTTGTCTATAAAGTGAAGTTGTTTATGAAAATCAAAATTATAAGTGTACACGCTATAAGTAAATATAAATGAACACAACAATTTTGATTTAAACATTGTTGTTTTGGGAAAAATTTCCCTTTCGATTTGGATTTATTAGAGTTGTGAATAAATTTCTTTATATGTGCACCAAGCATTATTAAACTTAAAGTTCACATTTTCTTAATGCACAATTCAGTCAATTTCGAAACATTAAATGCCCAACTAGAGTAACGTCTGTCCCTTTTTGGAAATATTCCCAAAGTTGGTATTTAATCTACAAACCAAAATAAGGGCATATTGTATTTTTTTGCTTTGACATTAGTCTTAGAGATTTTAGGAAATTTTCTCTATATAAATATAATGGATAAATATAATGGAGGGAGTAATTTGCAAATAAATTAAGAATTAAATATTAATATAAGCATACAAAATGAATTAATTTAATAAGTTATTTTATAAATTAAACTTTAAAAACACAGTATGTAATAAGTCTTAGGATTATTACTAGTTGAATGAATATCTAGTTGATATTAATGGTAAGAACATTGATATGATAAACATGTCATTTTCCCCAATTTCAACATATTTGATGATCTTTTTCAAATATTTTTACTACTTTAAACTAGGAAAAATAATTATTTCATCCCTAAGATTTTACAAAATTACTTAACTCGTCTGCATATTTTTATATATTAGAAGTTTAGTTCAATCTTGTTAAATCATCTTTCCGTCAAAAATCAAATCTTTTTTTCGAGGACAAAAAGCAAAAGTAAGGAGAGAGAGTTATTTTAAATGACTAATGATAACCTTGAACTTTATTTTTCCTCATTTTTCTTACTCATCTTCCTCTCCTTCATAGTCTTCCTCAAGCAAACATCAAGTGTTTTTATTTTGTGAAATTTTGATCCTTTTTTCAATGGAGAAAAACAAATCAGAACATAAATATTAAATTTCTGAAGGTGAATAATTTACCTTATATTTCTTTCTATTTTTACTCTATTTTCTCACCAGCCAAACAGAAAATAACAAAAAAAAAAAAGAAAAATAAATAACCTCATGGATCTAAGATTTTTAAATATAATGATTGTTAGACGTTCGTCGACTATTACAACAGAAATATAAAGAGGATGATAAAAAAGATGAGAGATGGCATCAAAAAAATGGACTCATTGTTTAAAAACAGAAATATACGATATAGCTCCATCGATCTCTGTTACGAGGTTTGGAGGCCAATCGAATCGCATTGTAGGTGTAAGTGCGATTGGGATGGGGAGAAATCGACTGTGGCTACAGCACCACCTCAAAAACTGGCTTAGTCGTGGTGGTCAGGTTGCATATCAAGTCTCTATAGAAGGAGGAGAAACAGAGAAGCAGTGGTCTGGAGATCCAACAAAGAATGTGATATTGAGATGGTGAACAGTGCCGTAAAAGCTTGACAATATTTTCACTTTTTTGTCTTTACTAGAAATAGATTTGTTTATACTTTTTTCTTATTTTTTTTATTTTATCATTCATTTTTCAGATTACATTTTTTTATTTCTTATCATGTTTTTTTGCTTTTTCTTATTTCTTTTAAATGAAATTGATAGAGAAAGATTATAAAGAGTGTATGAGAGGAGAGAAATGAACAGACAATTGCCTTTAAGAGTACCATTTGCCATGGATGGATGGAGAGATGCCTTGAACGGCAAAATGAGATACAACTTTATTAATTTTTTAATGTATTTATTTATTAAGTTTATACAGTTGCAGGAATGGAGATTTGGAGAGACGGAGACGAAGAGCGACAGTGATTCTAATTTTTGTTTTTATCAAAAGGGCATTTTAGTCTTTTACTAGACATGTAACGGCAAAAAACAGTAAAATTCGACGGAAGGACCGTCTGACCTCAAGGATTAAATATCTAATATACAAAAATACGAGGACTACTTAATTAATTTTGTAAAATTTTAGGGACGAAATAATTATTTTCCCTTTAAACTATGAAATATGTTAATTTACAATTTTTTATGAGGAATTACTATGTTCTATCAATTGTTGTCGTTGCTCTTCAATTTTCTGTTACAGTCTATCCTTACTTAAATTGAATAATTAAGGCCGGTTTATTACAATTGTTTGTTTTTAATTTTTTATTTATTAGAAACATGAAACAGTTTTTAGTGTTTGATTATTTATTTTTGGAAAATTATTACTTTTTTTTGTTCATGATGTGAAAAATTCTTCTAATTATCGAATCTCTCCCTTATTAAGCCATTAAAGATCTTTAGTTAATAATAAAAATTTTAAAAATTCAAAGTTTCAGACAAAATAATTAAATATATTTTACGATTTAGTTTTAAAATTTCAAAGTTATAGTAATTATTGATTATTATGTTGAATAAAAATATAATATCCAAATATTATAATAAATAAGATAATTTTATTTCGTTCCTATTAACTATGTAAATATTGTATTATAGTCTTATCAATTTTAATATGAGGAATTACTATGTTCTAATCAATTGTGTCGTGTGTCTCTTCATATTCTAAATCTTGTTAAACGTCATATCCGTGTATCTAAAATGATAAATTAGGAGGGCCGGTTTATTACAATTGTTAAGTTTTTAATTTTGGTTGTAGTTTATTAGAAAACAATTCCGTATAACTAGTGAATTAGTTGTGGGTTGATTATTTATTGTGGAGAAGAATATATTACTATTTTTTTGTTCATTGGATTGTGAATAGAAATTTTACAATTCTTAATTATCTGAATCTTCTCTCCTAATAAGCCATGTAAACCGATCTTGTAGTTCCCCCACATAAATGCCTGAGAAATTAATTTTTAAAGAAGCTCCATTCCAACCCACAGAATTTCAGACAAAAAATAATTAAATATATTTTACGATTTAGTTTTTAAAATTTTCAAATCACTATAGTAATTATTGGATTATTATGTGAATTAAAATATAAGTATCTAAATATCCTGAATTATAATAAATAAAATAAATTACTAAATTTGACATATAAGAATTTATAAATAGAGAGAGAAAAATAATTAGTATAATATTAAATATAATTACACACTAACCATAGAGGATAAGTATAAAAACATATTAGAAAAAAAAGGGCTGAAGGAATTTGAATAAGGTAAATGAATAAATAGTAGACTTTGATAGTACTTTGTTGGGAATAAATTAGAATGACGATTAGACATTTACTTCATAACATAGAGAAGAATATGGGAATAAGACAATAATAATATTATAGAAATTAAGAATACTTTAATTAAATCTATAGTAGAACTACACATTTTTATGACGATATAATCTTATATAAAATTGTTTGGAAAAAATGATGGTTGAACATTCAGATTCTTATCCAAATGTAGAGATAGGAATATGACGATAGATCTTATAAAAAATGTTTGGAAAAATGATGGTTGAATTCGATCTTATCCATGTAGAATTAGGATTAAGGTGTAGGTTAAGTAAATCAATGGATATTTTTAATCCTCTTGAAAATGACGATAGATCTTATAAAAAATGTTTGGAAAAATGATGGTTGAATTCGATCTTATCCATGTAGAATTAGGATTAAGGTGTAGGTTAAGTAAATCAATGGATATTTTTAATCCTCTTGAAAATACCGGTATAAGCAAAGACCTAATTCTAAATAATACAGATAAAAACACCCATTGTTGGAGTAATAGTGACAGCTCTAATTATAGCAATATTGATCATTTAGTTGGCATTTGAAATTTCAGCGATGATGAAACTTTTTTAGTTACGGATAGTAATAGGGACATTTATTCCATATATTTTGATATTGAAAATCAAGTTTTTGAGATCGAAACTCATCTTTTTTTTTTTTTTGAATGAATTAGAAAGTTCTTTTTATAGTTATTGGAATTCGAGTTATCTGATAATGGGTCTAGCAGTGGTTACTCTCACTATGATCATTATATGTCTGATACTAATTACTCTCAATATAGTTATTGGAATTCGAGTTATCTGATAATGGGTCTAGCAGTGGTTACTCTCACTATGATCATTATATGTCTGATACTAAATATAGTTGGAATAATTACATCAATATTTGCAATGACAATTATCTTCACTCTCAAATCTATATTGATTTAAGTGGTAGTAACAATTACAGTGAGAGTTACATTTATAATCATTTCAATTACATAAGTCAATTCAATTTTTACACTCCCAAACATGGACGTATCAAAATACTAAGAAAATACTCTATTTGTTCCATTTTGTTTGCATTGTTAACAAAACATGAATATTAAAAATTTAATTAACAAAAATTATTTTGCCATTTTTACTCTTAATTCATTAAGATATTAATAAAAATTCTTCATTTAATAAATAATCATAAATGTTATTATAGGAAAAATAATTGTTTAAATATCTAAATTTAGAAATCTTGCAAATATTTTGAAACATCCAAAAAAGGAATAACAAGTAAACAAAATGAGACAGAGAATATTCTTTTATTTTATTAATTTCAGATACTGCTAAATAATTTAGAAATATTATATATGTACATTCCATATCATAATTAAATGGTTGAGTGACCATAGTTACAGAAAAATTGACTTCATGGGATCAATTGAATGTCAATGTATCAATGGCTTATCCGGTTGTATTAAATACTTGACCGAATTTAGTATTTGAGTCATTATTCACGATTCTATTTTCCAGTCAAGCTGAGTTTGATAACTGTGTGCACATAATTTGTTGTAAATAAAATAAGAGGTTGTTTGTCTGTAGAAAAGTGGAGTAGTCTTCTAAAAAACTTTTCCAAAAAAAAAAAAAAAAGCTGAGCCCTTTGAATAACTGTGTCGCACATAATTGGTGTCCCTGTAATATAATAATATAGGAGGTTGTTTTGGTCTACTGAGAAAAGTGGCTTTATGTAAATGTCTTCTAAAAAACCCACTATTTCCAATAAAAAATAAAAATAATAAAAAAATCAGGAATACTTTATGTTGTTTAGAAAATATATCTTTTAAAATATGTATTTAATATATTTTTATTGAAAAATTTCATAAATAATTATATTTAAATAATTTCAATTAATTTATCTCCTACTTTTTAATAATCTTTAGTTTAGTAGTTTACTGCTTTAATATGTCAAACAGCTTCTACCTTCAGTTTACATTTGTTAATTCTGGATGAGACAGTTTAGTTTCAAAAAAACTGTACAAAAGTTGAAATAAAAACATGATATTAGTTATTATTATAAACATTAAGACGCAATTATTAAGATATTGTAATTAAAATTATTAAAATAAAATTTCTAAACTTTTGTTTTTTGTAAGAGATGAAAAAAAAAAAAAAATAGAATTTAGTGTGTAAAATATATTTAAATATATTTTATATTTTATTGAAAAATCATAAAATATATTTAAATAATTCAATTAATTTTTTTTACTTTTAAAATTTTATAGTATGCTTTAATATGTAACCAGCTTTATTATTACATTGTGATAACATTTAGTTTTAAAAAACTGTACAAAGTGATAAAACATGATATTATTATTATTATAAATAAACCAATAATATATGTTTAAAAATTATAAAATAAAATTTTCTAAATTTGTTTTAAAATATTTTTATTTTTTTAATTGTTTGAATTGAAATATTATTAATATGTGAACGCATTTTCCTTTGTTTTATTTTATTTTACATTGTCTAAGAATATACCCTAAATTTCTTTGTATTCTAACATTATTAATTTTGTCCATTTATCCGCTAGAATAATTAAAACATGAGTTTTTTTTTTAAAAAAATCAAATCTTGTTACCATGAATTCAATATATAATATATGCTTTTGGCGTATTGTTAACATGGTATTTTTCAAAAAATTAATTTATTTTTTGGAATATTGGGGAAAAGGGATTTGAATATGTTGTCAGGCTGTATGTACACTTATTACTAGGCTATAGCAAAATCAATTTAATTGTTATGCATGTGTGTGGCAAATTTTACTTTCAATTAAAAAAATCTTATTAATTTTATCAACAAATTGATTATTAACGTTTTAAAACTTTTATGGGAATTTATTACTATATTGACGTATGATATATATGTAGTTAGGAGAAACGAGTAACCGCAAGAAGAACGTTATGAGCACGAAAAATGGCGGCAGCCGCCACGCCATGCATGCAGTAATTAACTCCAAAAAGAAACCGTTTTTAGAATAAATAGGAAACCCTAGCTCAAAAACATATTTCTTTTAGTGCCCAATTAATTCGGAGAGTTTGTTACTCTTTCACCTGCTGCCCAATCAATCATCACCCTCAAATCTCTCCCTGAAAATCCTAACTACCCACTTCTCCACCCCTCCCTCTCTCTCTCTCTCTCTCTTATATTAACATTTAGCAGTCATTTGTTAGTACATGTGTACGGTAGTTTTGATAAGGTTGTTATTTAGTGACCTTAAGTCTACTGTTCTTCAACAAACAAATTGGACAGTGAATCTTTCTTCTCTTTACAGGTATCTTTTCTTTTATGTCTTATGATTCTGTTCCGTTCTTGATTTTGTCTTAGACTTTTTTTAAAGATTTTATTTGTTAATTGTCTTATATTTTTTTATTTTAAAGCTTTATTTCTTAGCTACTTTAGCTTTATTAGAGTATATTTTTTTTATCATTTGAGCTTACAATTTCTGAATTCTAGTTTAATTTTCATTTCTTTTTCCAGTTTTTCATTTCAGATTCCATACATGACTTTGAGTTTTTATTCAGAGTTCGGGTCCTTTTACCCACAAACCCAACAAGAAATTGCAACGGAACATCAGCTTTTTGCTTGCTACGACAGTAATTTCACCTTTTCAGATAATTCCTCGATCAGCAGTTTATATGAATTTGATGATCATAACAATGAGCTCCTTTACTCATCAGATAGCTACACCAATCTTCTTCCTTACTTTTCTTCTCCTTCAGATTCTGTAATTTCCCTCTCACCTGATATTGTTCCTCTTCAAGATTTTCAAGATTCCTATCACCTATCGCACTACCAAAAACGACAATTTGAAGAATCCTACCACCAGTTGTACTACCCAAAACGACAGAAGAGCTTAGACCAGTGCCATTCAACTGTCTCACCTAGTTTCTTTGACGGGTATGTCTCAAATCCCGATTTGGCAGTAGTACTACCGGAGTTCTCGCCCGAAATTCCAGTAGCATCGTTAGAACTGCCAAAATTTGAGGCTCCAGCTTCAGCGACTTTTAATGTAGGTAGAAGCGATACTGATGAGAGTAATGTGAAGAAACCGAGCGTGTCTGCACAGAGCATTGCGGCGCGCGAGAGGAGAAGGAAGATAACACAGAAGACTCAAGAGCTTGGAAAGTTGATTCCAGCAGGGAATAAAATGAATACTGCTGAAATGCTTCAATCTGCTTTTAAGTATGTCAAGTTCTTGCAAGCTCAAGTCAAAGTCCTTCAACATATGGAATCAATACAAAAGGTTAGTTAATTAATTAATTAATTTCTTTTTCAATTTTCAGAGAGAGTAATGTTCTAAATACGTTATGAAATAATAAGATACGACCCGAATTTCTTGCACGGTTTATTGTGGATTTATAATATGATATGAATCATCTCACATCATAGGATCTTATTTGCGAGATCTATATATTAATTTACGTCTAATCTTTTACCCACATATCGTCAATTGTTAATGCAGGAAAGGAAGGAGGATTTGCAAACACATGATCAACTACAAATTCTTCTTACATCTTCAACAATTCAAGAGAAGTTGTGCTCACAAGAGAAATGTTTGGTGCCAAGAGAGGTTCTTGAAACCATAGCAAATGATCAAGAATTAATTCAATCAACACCGTCCATTATCGATGAGATCGACCAGTTGCTGATGGGAACCAATGGCTGACATGAATTTGTATATAAAGAAATTTTTGTTCAGTCAAGAGGGCTCATTTTTGTTGTTCTGATAAGTAGAGGCTTTGTTGTGTTTTAATTAGCCACGTGTTAATTAGGTGCTAATTGTCAATTGTTGTTATTTTTCCCTAATTTTAGCTAGTTGCTAATCTAATCTATTTCTTGTAAATTTCTTATTTAGCAAGGAAAGGATAGATTTCCATTTTTAAATTGTAATTTGTTGTTATTACATGAATAATTGTCTATATATGATAAGTCTTTCCCTTAATTTCTTTATTGATGAAATGCAAATCCTTCACATATATTAAGTACATGTTTTGTATTAAATTGTTTGGTTTTAGATTGTTAAGTTTGGTGTTTTGATGTGTTTTGATTTCACTAATTTAATTTCTTATTTCAGTTTAAAATATATTAAGTTTTTCGTAGATATATATTAATAAAATAATCATAATTTACCGATAAAAAAAATCGCGTGTAAACTAATTTCCAAATAGTCAAACCCTAACCATTTTTTTTTTGTGGAAAACATTTTCACATAAATGATGAACTCTAAATTATTTTTTATTTTTAAACCGTGACCACAAATAAGTGTCATATATATATTTTAAAAATAATAATTTTTCTATTTTTACTTTTACAACAATTAATATCTATCTAAAAATTAGTAAAGCAGCTAATATTGTGTCCAGCAATTCAAGAATATTTATACTCACAAGTTTTTGCTTCCAATACAACAATATATTCCCAAGATTAATTTCAATTGGAAATTCTAAATGGTAATTATAATTTTTTTTTTTTTAGAAAATTTATTACAAACTTGAATATGCACGATGATAATGACAAATAAATTAATGGATTGTGGATATATATAATGAATTAAATCATTACTCTTGATAACATAATGAACTTCAAGAATCAAATCTTGATTAATAAAGTGAGAATTAACAAATAAGCTAATCCTTAGAATTATTTCAATTACTTTAATTAATACATATTTCATATTTGATGCTAATTGTGATAATATTTTAAATTATTTTAATTGCAAATTAATTTCATAAAATTATCAAATTTCACCCTCAATAAATAACTGCCAAAAACCATCTAATTTGAACGTGTAAACATGGATTAATTAATACCCTTAAAAAGAAAAAGGAAAAGATGAATTAATTATAATTTGTAACTACCACATAAAATTTTCAAATTCCAACTGCTTTCATTTGAACACCTTTACTCAAAGTACTCATCCATGGCTTCCATTTCTGTTATTAGTCTCCTTTTGATCACAGTTTCTGCATCTCTCGCTGCAACTGTTGTTGAAGATCTTGCAAACTTAAAACCCCCACCAGATTTCAACACCACAATATCCAACAATTGTCTCCACAACCCACTTCTTAGATACTGCAATTCTTCTTCTCCTTTTGACTTGGATGGAATTTTCAGGTCCACCATTGTTGCTAGTCATCTCTGCAACGAATCGAAAAACCCTAATTGCATTGAATCATTCCCTAAAATAGACTTAAGAAACCGCCCAAAGATTGTACCTTTATACTTATCTTACAATTTCTTTTGGAAATACTGCCCTTTAACCATTTTATCAATTGATTTATCAAATAATTCCTTAAAGGGTAATTTTCCAACAGATGTTTTGTTATGTACCCAGATTCAGTCTCTTGATCTGAGTCTTAATGCACTAACAGGAGATGTTCCTGTAAAGAGTTTCTCTTCTCTTTCTAATCTCACATTTCTGAATCTTTCTTACAATTATTTCTCAGAAACTAAAATATCAGATTCTCAGTTCTTCAGGAAGTTTAATGCTTCAAGTTTCTATCATTCCGGTCTTCTTCCAAGTCAAAGAAACTATAAACTCAAGGCTATATTTTTATTATTAGGGTTTCCAATATTTGTGATCATAATAGTAATCTGTTTTGGTTGGTTATGTTTTATAAGACCAGATTATTTACCAACCCCGCTACAAAAAAACCACAAATTTACACCAGCAATGTTAAATGCTGCAACTAATCGATTTTCCAGGAAAAACTTGGTGGTGAAGAGTGAAGGAATTGATATATATAAAGGAAAACCGCGAAATGGAACTGAAGTGAGGGTAGAAATTTACAAGGGAAATAGTTCCAGGGAAGATCGCCAGAGATTTGTTAAAGAATGCAAGGTTCTTGCCCAATTATATCATAAGAACTTGGTTCAAGTATTTGGATGGTGTAATGACAGGAAAATGAGGGCAATTGTTGCAGAATGGACAGAAGGAGAGAATGTTGAGATGTGGCTATTAGGGTCAGTTCCTCCATGGAAGGAAAGGTTAAAAGTGTTAATGGGAGTTGTGGAGGGAATGTCTTATTTGCAGGAACAATGGCCTCAAGTCGGGTATGATTTAAGAACTAGTAGTGTGCTTCTGTCTAATAATTTAGAGCCACTCATTTCAAGATTTAAAGTCGGAGTTCAAAACAGTAGCATCAAACGTATGTTTGCTTACTTCTTGCCAATTTATTTATTCTTTGTTAATTTATAAACTCTTAAGATAATTAGCACTTTCTTTTTTTTTTTTTTTTTTTTTTTTATGTGTTGCTTACTTCTTGCCAATTGTATTGTATTCTTTTGGTTTAATTGTATAACACTCTTACAGAAGTAATTAGGCAAGCTTTCTTTGTTTTTTTTTTTTTTTGGCCAATTTCATATGGGTGGGTACCACTTGAAAATTAATTTATCAAAATTTAGGGTGGCCGTTGAAATTCACAAGTTTTTGGGAACGCTTTTTGTTAGTTAAGCGGGCAGAATAAGCTAATTTTGGCTTGCGATATTGTAGACATTTACAAGTTTTGGAGTTTTTCCTACTGGAAAATGAGTTAACAAACAGGAGGGGCCTGAAGCAAGATTTTGAGAGGGGTCACGCTGTTTTATAGGAGTATATGCAGACATGAAATTATCCTGGAAATGTGGCGCAATTTTTGATCGGATGGCAATAGAAGTTTTTTTTTTTTTTTTTTTTGCCAATTTCATATGGTGGGTACACTTGAAAATTAATTTATCAAAATTTAGGGTGCACTTGAAAATTCACAGTTTTGGGACGCTTTTTGTTATTAAGGCAAATAAGCTAATTTGCTCGATATTTACAGACATTTACAAGTTTGGAGTTTTTCTACTGGAAATGATAACAAACAGGAGGCCTGAACAAGATTTTGAGAGGGGTCACGCTGGTTTTATAGAGTATATCAGAATGAATTATCCTGGAAATTGGCGCAATTTGATCGATGCAAGAATGAAATTATCAGAAAATATGGTTGATCAAGCTAAACATGGAATCGGTCTGGGATTGATCTGCACTGATCAATCAAACAGTAAATATCCGAGCTTGAATCAGATATTCAATATGTTAACCACAGTCTACAACTCTTGCCCGGTTAAGGCATCCGAGAATCGGAGCAGAACTCATGGAGATGGAGACAGGACATAAACGTTCCATGTCTAGATAAGCTCACATTATACCACTTAAAATTTCAATTCTTGCACATGCTGTAAGTAGAACTTAATTCTTTCTTTTTAACATTAGAGACTCTTGTAAGGAAATGTATCCTTTGAATGTCGAGTCTCATATTCAGTTAGCTGCTATACGGTTGTTCTCTCATGCGTTAACTGAATTAGGCATTGCATTCTTTAGTTTTTACTGAATCAACTTACACAAAAACCAGCTCAAGGAAAACTCAGTAGCAAAATAAGAGACATCATCAAAACCCAGCCATACATTCCATAGGAAAATCAACAGACCTATTTCTCACATAACCACAATATACTTCTGCAGAATCTTGCATTGTTAGTATTTCAGGAAAAAAACTTAGAAATGGAGTTGAGCTTTGGACGAAAAACAAGATTACAGCATAAAAAAGACAAGTCATTTGCTTGTACAACATTGCTTTTCACATGTAAGTTATTTTACGCAAATCAAATTACCACACAATTCAGCCACATGCAATGCATTCCCATTCCTTTTTATCAAACCATAAATTTAGCAAAATACAGGTTTCTATGTACCTCTATATGGCCGCCACATCATGTATATTTGCTTTTCAACTGGGAAATTAAAGCAGCTTTTACATCAAAATCTTGGAATCTTCGGATGCTATTTTTCATTTGATTACACCAGGCTTATTTGCCTGTGTTTTCGATCTTGTCTTACTGATTTTCTTTGGCACATCTGTTGTTAAAGCATACATCTTTACAACAAATAGCTCCTTGGGAAATCCCCTTTGTTCCTGTTATCAAAATATGGTAAAAGCAAATAAACATGATAATTCAGAAATTGCTTCTCGATGCGTTCCCTGCAGTACAACCAGCAGGTGACACTTAACATTCTTCTGTTGCACTGCTGGTTTTTCCTTTTTGTCTTTTACCTATGAGGGTCCCAGCTAAAGATAACTTCCCCACTATAGCACTTCTACTCCAACCCCCCATCAACTAATCGTTTTTCTATATAATAAACAATCCCATAATTGGTAGATATTGCCTCTTTGAAAGTAGAGTGATCAAACTGACACGTACCCTTACCCTACAATTCAAGGACTTCCATAAAAATCCATAAATCAAATTACTTCTACAATGCACTTATAAGTAATTATTTCATCCAGTACTGTAATAATGCACTCATAAAAAAATTACTCAATCCATAATTGCCTTTGATGTGTTAACCATTTCAATGATGAAAAACACTATGGCCAGCAGCAGATTTTTTTCAAAAAGGAAAAGTACTATGGTAAGAAGCATATTCCTTTTTTTACATTTGGGTAAAATGCCAACTCCAGTTGTTGCTGAAGTTCATTTTAAGTCGTCCTAGTGGCATAATAAAAATTGCTCAGAGTACCTACTAAAAGCAATGTATAATCCAAGGTTCAAGATAATACATCCTAAAGCTTGTATTTCTGACTATCATATTGCATTATACCAGTCAAACTGTTCTAGTTCCAAATGAACAGCATAACATGCCATAGATAGCTTGTTCATCTATGTCATACTATTTATTCACACACACAAACTCTTATATATGATGATGATGATGATGATAGTGGTGGTGGTGGTGATGATGATGATAATGATGATGCCCAATTTGTAATTAATAAGAATCTAGAAGAATGGAGGATAATCCTGAACAAGGTGGAACAGAAAAGCACCGACAAATTATCGAGTTAATTTTTTTTTTTGTGTGCGCTCACATATATTATGCAAGTAAAAGAAAATTGTCATCTATTTGAGGTAAAAGTGTGGGAGGAGTTAACCTTTGATTTATAAAGATGCAATCCACATTGACTAAAAAGCTTCTGGAAGTATACATCTGACCTGGTGATGCTTCGATCTTCTTTGTCCAATAAAAATCCTGCAAACATGCAGTATTAGTTCAGAAATAATTGTTTCACCCCCACAACACTGAAAGTTGATCTGTTCCACTACCAGATTCCAAACTATCTTGACCGAAAACAAAACAACAAGTGAAGAGCAAGTGAATTGAGCACAAACACAACACCAAGTTTATCGAATATTTCCCAGAATTCCAAGTGTTAGATTATCACTATGAAACCAAGTAACCACAGCGTAAAGTTGGTCTGTCTCTCAAGAGAAGAATGGGCCAATGTTCAATCATTTCAAAATAAATGGTATCTATAGGCAATTCTCATTTAACCCTAGCAAGAGCCGCACCACAAGACATGAATTCGCTATCTTTATAATCAAAAAGTCATTCCAATTTGAATCAAAGATATCTATATAAAACTGTTGGCAGCAATTATCAACAATTTAAACAATTCACACATTGTATCTGCAATAGCTTTTGTATTGATGAGTACTAGTCATATAATGTTGTATTTTTACATGTACCAAGTTTGTCATCTCCATAATTTAAGGATCTCATTCAAGCTACTGATTTCAGGATCTGCAATATTGAGGATTCCATGATTTCCTATTTAAATAATTCCAAGAGAAGACCAAGCAAGTTTCTTCCATCTTTCCATTAGTTTCTATACCTTTCTAATCTTTTTGGCATGTGTATATCATTCCAACTTGGAAAAGTCTACTTTTCAATATAGTTACATGAAAAGAAGACATGAATAACTTTCCTGGTGAATTTAAATGAGGTGTGTTTAATTACAATCATTACCATCCAAGTGATAGGTCAAAATCCTCACTCTTCTCTTGACCAACTTATTTCTAAGGTACTTCATTTAATCTAGTCATAGAATATAGCAATTACTCTTCTAATTTTCCTTGCAAACCTTCCTTCTCCTTTCATTACAATTATCATCTGACTATTGCAATGTCCTACATGAGCACATTAAACACTTCGTTTAGGCCTTCTCCCACCCCAATTCGCCATTCTATTTCTTCACTGGACAGTCCACATATAAAACAATGGATCATAATAGTATGTGTACATGTGCATATGTGTGTGTATTATGAAATAGCATTTTCTTTGAGTTTGAAAAGTGAAAATTTCTACAACAAAAAAGAAATTCTGCTTGAGAAAGTAACCATGAAAGATAAGTTCCACCAATTGAGGCTCAAACTGAAGGTAGCCAAGTAAAGCACTTCATGGATGAAAACTTAAGCATAACAAATGGTAGTTTGCAAGAAGAAAAGCATAGTACCACTTCGTGCAGTGTTCTCCTTCAGGACAAAAAAACCACCAGGTTTGAGGCCAACCTGCAAAATCATTGAAATTAAAGAAATGGCAGTACATTTTCCAGAAACACTCATTAGGGACCTCTTACAATCTAAAAATGCAAGAATAAGGACATAATTAGACTGTTTAGCCTCTGATAAATCACTCCAACCTGATGATCACTTAGAAGTGACACGAGAATAATAGCCAGCTTCTCGAGGGCACATAATATTTCACCAAGAATGGCTTTCTTAGAAGAAGTGCTAATTCTCAGAGTTCAACCTTCTTGCTCATGGCATTTGCATATAGAATTTTCTAGCCAAAGCTCATCCACCATTGAAGAGAGGTAAAGGAAAAGAAAAAAAAGGCTGAATGGATTCACTAAGAAAATGCAATTACTAATGTATTAAACATTGCAAGAGTTGAATAGAATTAGAAGAACTGGAACTATAAGAAGCTGCAGGAGCATTGGGCACTAGTAAACAAACTTTCACTTGATATTTCATTTTTCTCAAGAAGAAGACAATGAAGCATAAATGTTCTAGGTTATAGGACTTTCTTGAAATAATTCCCACGAAATATTTTATGCTATAAAAAAAATTTATGCATTAAAATATTAGGGAAATGCTGATTTTTACCTTTGCTCTCTTGAAAAATGAAACAAAATCATCATCCGTAAGGTGCCCAATACACCACTGAACCCAGATAACATCATATCTTCCAGCTTCTGGGGTGAATTCCTGAAAGCAAATGCAAGTGAACTTCCAAGAAAGCCAAAAACTAGCTTGCTATAAGTACATGATCAAGAAATGGATAATTGAAGCCATAATTCTACTCAGTTGGTTACTAAAATATATTTGAATTGCAGAGGAACCATAAAGGCCGGACATCTAAAAAAAATGTATTCCACTTGCATTGAAAAAACAAATAAGAAAAAAAAATTAATTGAAAACTTGATATAAGATTACATAAGGATCACCCTTAGCCACAATCTACGGTTGGCCTACAATATTAAACTCTTATCGGTGGTTGGAATGGAATTTAAGCCTTCAACTCAAATTCTACATTTTAAGGTGAACCAGTAGAATCAAAACTAATAACTTAAACCAATTACATAACTAGAAGACCTGTACAACAATTGACATGAGAAGATAAAAGCGCTCCACTTCAGCAAATATCCAAATGTTAAAGGCCCTCGATCTATGAGTGGACTATATCATTGGAGTTCAACCCTTTCAAATATTCTTCTTGCTTATCCTCCGCAAACACAACATATTTAACATGATGATAAAGGGTTCAAGTCTTCATATTACTAAAGTACTCTTTATATAACAGCACAGGAGACTTTTGAAATCGTTTAAAGACTCCAAGGAATAAGAAATCATCAATAGTTCCTCGCTATAAGATGACCCAGTTCTTAAATGTATCCTCTGTAGTTACCTTGTCCTTTACTACTAGTATTAGATGAGCAGCAGCAAAGCCAGAGTATAAATTTAAGGGGGGCAAACTCTTAACTAACAAAAGTCAAGGGGGGCAATGGCTAAAGCAATCAAACAAAATCTGTAGCTGCATTTGTAATTTCCTTTTCCTTTTTGAAGATAGAGAGAGAGAGAGAGAGAGAGAGAGAGAAGGAGGGCAATAGCTCCCCTTCTCTTCTATGTAGCTTTGCCAGTGTAGAGCCAGCTTGGAAATGCAATGTGACAGTAACACTTCTAATCAATGTACAAATCTAGAAAAGGGAAAAATTGGGGAAAATTGAATCTGACTAGAGTAGAGACAGCAGCCCTTGTTCTCCTTATTCTTCTTCCTTCCCCCTTTTGGGTTCGAAAGTTTGTTCTACTCTTGTTTGCTATCATCGTACTGTTCAGATCTGATGGGTGATTTTGAATGAGAAGAAGTCAAATTTTCTATATCCAAAAGTTAGATTTGGATTTATTAATTAATTCCAGTTCTTCTACAAAAAGAATAAAGACTCCCCAGGCGTCAATTGTTCTTCATTCCCATCATTTTATGTACTGTTGTCATGTGGATTTTACTATTAATTAAGCGCATAACTGTGTGTTCCCAAATTCATGAATGCATGAACAAGTTTATTTTATGCATATAAATTACTCTCAAAGAAAATTGCCTGAAGTGGGGTGCAAAAGAAATTAGTGGCCTTGTGTGTATCTGATGCCATATGATTGTCATGGACCAAACTTTCGCGGGCAGCATCCAGAAAATGTGAGACTGGCTCAAGAAGATCAACCTGGAAAATTTGAGAAAGAAAGACAGACTGAGAGAGAGAAGGTAAATATAAAAAGGATGACATGTGTGCAACAGTTAGTAATTTATGGTAAAAGCCACTGTTATTAGAATCTCACGATCCGCGATTCAAATTGTACAATTCCATTCAATTCTCATGCTGAACAAATCGAATCTTATGGGTGAATCGGAATTGAGCACAAATCGTGTTTGAGTCGATTCTCATGCCCGTTGATTCTCATACCAAACAAAAAAAGTAAAAAAGTCAATATAGAGGAAGAAGAGCAAGAGGATATAGTTATATTAGAAAGATGAAGATGATGAAGAGCTTGAATTTGGAAACAATAATGAATGAATATGGATTTGGATAGGAAATTTAATGGCTTGATAGTTTTACTTTGGTTTTTTTTTTTAAATTTTAACTAAATAGTTTGATATGTTGAACTTGGAAACTAAACAAGTCATTAGGTTCACTTTCATTTTGTGTTTAGTACATGATTTGGAATTGAAATTTATATAAATACATTATCTACAAGTAATTTTTTAGTACCTTTTGATAAAATTAATGGGAAATATCTCTATAAATGTATATGTATTATTTTTAATTAATTTTGAAAATTTATTCTTACAATTCGGTTTAATCTCAATTCTCAATTCTAAAAGTAAAAATTCCAACTCTCGATCCTAATCTTGATTTGACAACTATGGTAAAAGCTTATAACAAAATATGCAGCATTAATAACACATAGAAGAACTGTAAACTCTTAAAATTTGAAGTCAAATTCAATTTTTTATGAGATAGAAGCACCATACTTGGGCTATATTCTTGAATATAAAGGTAAGTTAAAGTTAAAAGAGACCTTACCTCATTAAAGTACCTTATGAGAAGATTCTTAGTCACTCTTCCAATGCCTGAACCACAATCTGCATCAATTTTGATTTTAGTTTACCAATAAAATTGCAAACTGCCATCAAACCAAAATTTAGCATGTCAAACTCTGTATATCCATTTATTGAGCCTGAAATCAGGCTTAAAAGTTCTTTGTTTTTTCAAACAAACCAGCTCAATTTTAGTTATTTACTGAGGTGGGCTTTAGTAGAGTGCTCATACCTAGTTCAGCTTTCAATTACATGTGCTATAAAGTATCAACATGAAAGTACATAAAAGATTTAATATCCTCAATCAGTGATTGAATTTTTAAGAATCAAATGATCAGGAGGAGCATATTAGCGTTCTAACAGTTAGATGTAACTTTGAGAGTTATTCTGTTTGCCACAACAAGAACACTGACACAAAAGGATAAAACTACAGCATGAAACTCTAATGCTTTGAGTCACTCTACTTACATTAACTAATAAAACTCAATCATGCCTACAGATTTCAACCATCCAAAGAAAAATTAACTAAACTCGATAATAAGAATTATTATTAAGAAAAAACTGAATTTACATATGTATATATTTTATACACAGAGAAAAATAGAGTACCAAGAGCAACAAGATGCCGGCCAATTCCACCATCTACAAATAGTTCAGAGAAAAGCGTCTGCAAAAAAGCTTCACTACTCTTCACATCAACATCATTCACACACCCATAACCACCCAACACTCCGTCCACCGATGCCTCCACTCCCTTTTCTCCCACCAAAAAAACAAGCAAACAAATAAAAAACTCAAATTCGTTTTCTATCTCATACACTAATAATTCAACAAAAAAGTTTCAAACTTTTACGTACTTCCCAGTAGCCAACACCGTCACGATACCACTGGTTCTTCTTGTTATCGTCGCCCGTGTGTTCTCTCCACATTTCGTCTGCATTCTTGAATTCTCGGCCATCGGAATCGAACCCAGCGACCTCCATGTCAAACGCTCTTGAGGGAAAATAAGGGCTGAGTCTTGTGGAACTAGGAAGACAGGAGACAGGGAAGGGTAAGGGAAAGACTCCAACTTTGGAGGAAACGACAAGCCGCGGCAGCATATATTTGCATATCTATCGAGCTCCATGAGAATTCAGAACCTAAAAGCTACCGATCGGTATTGCAACGTCGAAAAACTCCTGAAACTAAACGACAGCGTTTTGAACTGAAAATTTAAATAATTTAGACGAACACGATTTGTTAATTTTTGAAGGAAAAAAAAACCAAAAACTAAAACCAAAACAAATGCCTTCCAAGTTGTTCTACTTATTTAATTTAAAATAAATTCCATTATTAACTTTAAAATTTTAATTTAGAGAAAAATATAATTGCACCCTATCTTTTGTAAAAACACTATTTCACTCTTGTATTTTTTAAAATTAACTGTTACACCTCGTATTTTAAATATATTAAATTATATTAATCTTTCGGCCAATTTTTATAATTTTACAGTACAAATCAAAGAAAAACCTAATAGTCGAAGGAGAGAGAAAAAAATTCCAACGAAATATTTTCTTCATCTTCTCTTTTGATTATTTGATTATTGAGAAAATGTTACATTCCTGGAAACCCATATTGATTTTTGAGAACTCAATATGGGTTTAACACTACCATTACCACTAGCATTACTACAACCACCGCATCGAGTTTCAGCTCTAGTTACTTTGAATCCATATCTGGTAGCCGAAATGTTCATAACTACGGTCACAATCCAGTTCACCAAGCCTGCTACCGACGAGCTTTCTAACTCTAGCGTTCATAACCCAATTCACAAATTCAACCCAATTACTATTCGGTGGTTGGATTACGTAATTAACCATTGTATTGAGATTTGTGATGCTTATAGAAAGCTCATTCTGGTAATTTGAATCGATCTTGTTTTACTATTTTCTATTTTAAGCTTTTTTTTATGATGGCAAATTTTAAATACAATGTTTTTGTTATGGACATATGGTAATTTTTAAATGCAATGTTTTTGTTATGTACATATGGCAGATATGGAGTTCATGAAAATTAATTAGTTAGATTATTTAGTTTAAATATGATTCAATAAAATATAGATTCCTAATTAGTATAGGATCCTTAAAGTTAGTTAGTTAGATTATAAGCTTAGATAGGATGCACTAAAACATGAATTTTTAAATAGGATCCTCTAATCCATCCATGTCTATAAATCATTCTTTTACAATTAAACTCAACCCCAAAAATTACTTGGCCTGGAGAAATCAATTTGTTTCATTGGTAAACTATCAATGCCTTTCCCATATTATTGATTCAATCACAACTATTCCTCCTAAAACAATTTGCTCCACCATAAATCCTTCTTAACAAGTTGATAATCCATAATATGCTTCTTGGTTTAAAAAGGATCAAATAGTTTTGGCTTGGATTCTTTTCTTCGTTGACCGAAGAAATTTATCCATATATTACTAGGCTCACTTCTGCATCTTCTAGCCGGCACGCCTTGGCTTAAGCCTTTGGCTCTGTTTCTCAAAACCACCAGCTTCAAATTTACATTGAACTTCAAGAATTAAAGCGCCATGGTATGTCTATTGCTCAGTATTTATAAAAAGCGAAGGCCCTTGCCAATGAACTTGAAGCAGTAGGCCATCCTTTATCTTCGCTGAATTCAATGTAATTATTTATCGCCAATATTGATAATGAATTTCATAGTATCATTACTGCCTTGAATTTAAAAGTTGAACCTGTTTCGTTTTATGAATTATTTGGCCAGTTAATTGCTCATGAAATTTTGATTAAAAGCTCTCAAGAGCCTCCTATGGCAAACATGGCCACGGCTGTTGTTCCACCATCTACTTCTACATCTTTCACTCCTAATAATGCAGGTTCTCGGTGCAACAATAATTCTTATTGTTCTAATCAAACACAAAGGCCCATGTCAAATTTGCGGCTGGAAAAATCATATTGCTACAGACTTGTAGACGCATGTATCAGATGAACTAGAATTTTGGAGCCCCTCTGCTACAATATGCACCACCACGGTCAACTTATCCATAAATAAATTTTTCCTATGTATCGTAAAAAATTCATCTCCTCCTCCCATGCCATGGTATTCCGACACAGCAGCTAATTATCATCTCATGCCCAATTTCAATCAATTGTAGGCTCCCACATTGTATCAAGGTAATGATCAACTCTTTGTTAGCAAATGGACGATGTTTGCCCATCACTCACACTAGTAATATTACTCTTCCTTCTACAAAGGGCTCTCTTAAATTAAATAACACTCTTTGCGTTCCATTCATCACTAAAAATTTACTACGTGTTAAAAAATGTGTCGCTGATAATTCTGTTTATTTTAAATTTTGGCCTCATTAGGATTAAGTGACCAAGGAGGTTCTGCTTAAAGGTCCCAATGAGAATGGTGTGTATACGATTCCAACAATACATGTTATGATGGTAACCATTCCCTCATTTGATGATTGGCATATTCGTTTAGGTCATCCCAATTCACGTGTTCTTGTCAGTGTTCTTCAGTCAAATTTGCGTAGTTCATCTTTTAAATTAAGTCCTTGGTCTACGTGTTGTTTAGGAAAATTGTCTAGAATTCCTTTAGCGTCTGTTGAACATACAAACACTACTCCTTTTGATATTATTTATTCAAATGTTTGGAGACCTACTCCCATTTTGTCTACCTTGGTTTTCGTTATATGCTTTTATTTGTTGATGATTACACTCGCTGTTCTTGGATTTATTTTTTGAAGTAAAAGAGTGATGTCTATTCCATATTCTTGCAATTTCAATAATATGCTCAGCAACAATTTAACATATCCATTAAAGTGTTTCGTTCAGATCGGGGTGGTGAATATCAGAAATTACATAATTATTTTAAAAGTTGTGGCATTATTCATCGCATTGCTTGTCCATACACTTATGAACAAAAAATGGGGTAGCTAAACGAAAAATTCGATATGTTGTGGATACTAGCCTAATATTATTATCACTTGCTTCTTTGCCACTAAAATTTTGGAGTTATGCTTTTGAATCTAGTGTCTCGTTAATTAATAATTTGTCATATATCCATAACTACCAATCACCTTTCTCTATGCTTTTTCGTAAAACATCCTCCTTGTAAGATTTTAAACTTTTTAATTGTGTTGTATATCCCTTTCTTCGTCCATACAACAAACATAAATTTGCCTTTAGGTCCACTCCTTGTATCTTTTTGGGTTATAGTTCGTCCCACTCTGCTGATAGTCGTTTTAAAGTCACTACAAATCGGGTTTTTCTTGCTAGACATGTTACTTCTCATGAAAAATCTTTTCCATTTTCATCTTTGGTACAAGTGCAAAATTCATCTTATTCATCCGAGTTGTCACTATGGCTTGTTGTTTCGCATACAACTCGTTCTCCTGAGGCTCCTGTGCAACCTTCAAGCACATCACCTTCTTTTTTTTTTCAAATATTTTAGCTTCTAATTTTGCTGGTACATCGTCCGCTTTATCCTTGCCATATTTGCATAATGATTCTTCTCTTGCCATTAGCTCACCTATAACCCCCATCTCTCCTCCTCCCGTTAATTTAGTCATTATCTTTCCCAAATATGATCAGCCTCAACCTTCCACTGACCCACCTCGCACTACAACCTCTCCATCCCGCACTCACCCTATGTAATTACGCCCCACTACCATGGCCAGAAGTGAAGCATATTCTGCTTTATGTCAAAAAAAATTATCTTCACATTGAGCCTCAAATATTTCAGTAAGCTGTCCCCTATATAGAATGGAAGAGAGCTATACAATCTGAAAATGCTGCACTCCTTGCCATCAGAACTTGAAGCTTGGTCCCAAGGCCTGCAGGTAAAAATATTATTTGCAATAAATGGTGTTTCGTATTAAACGAAAATCTAATGGATCTAATGTAAGCTACAAATCACAGTTAGTAGCCAAGGGTTATATAAAAAATTTGGTATTGATTATTCTGAAACTTTCAGTTCTGTTGTCAAGATGACTGCAATCCGTACTGTTATCACTCTTGCTACTATGCATAATTGGCGACTTCGTCAATTTGACATCTCTAATGCCTTTCTTCATGGATTTTTAGACCATGAGATTTTTATGGATCAACCTCAAGGTTTTGTTGATTCTATTCATCCTGATTATATTTGCTGACTAAATAAATCTTTATATGGTCTTAAACAGGCTCTGCAGGCTTGGTTTCATCATCTTGATTCTTTTCTTTACGTCTGGGGTTTCAATCATCCAAAGCTGATCATTCATTATTTATTTTGAACAAGAATGACCTCAAATTTTACATCTCAATTTATGTGGATGAAATTCTTATGAATTGTTCAGATGCTTCCAAATTGGATTGGTTTTTGTGTCGACTGCAGGGTGTCTTTTCTGTGCGTGATCTTGGTCTGTTGCACTTTTTGTTGGGCATTGAGATTCAGTCGAGCTAGGGGGGCTGTTATTGAGCCAACAACATTAAATTGGGGATTTTATTTTGCATCATGGCCTTGAGGCTTCTAAGTCGAGTATCACGCCTGTGGCTATCAATTTTGTCTAAATCCACAGGTGTTACTGATGACAATCCTTAGCTGTATCGGCAAGTTTTAAGTGCTTTGTAGTATATTACTCTAACTCAACCTGATATTGCATTCAGTGTGAATAAGCTATCTCAATTTATGCATTTTCCTACTGATGAACATTGGAGGACTGTCAAATGCTTGCTGCATTATCTCAATGGCACTCGTGATTTTGGGCTAGTTTTTGCTAGAAATGATGATTTTCGCATGCAAATTTTTTCTAATATTGATTGGGGAAGCTGCTAGGATGATCGTCAATCCACCAGTGGCTATGCCATTTATTTGGGTTGTAATCTTATTTCTCGGCAGTCGAAGAAGTAGCCCCACCATTGGTCAGTCTTCAACTGAAATTGAATACAAAGCAGTTGCTAATGCCATTACTGAATGTGGCTTCGTTCTCTGCTATTGAATTTGGCTTTCCTCTTTCTCTACCTTCTATGCTTTGGTGTGATAATATTGGTGTTGTCTATCTATGCTAATCCTATTTTTCATGCTCGTACTAAGCATATTGAGCTTGACTACCACTTTGTTCGGGA